TCGACCAGTTGGGGTGAGAGAGAGAGAGAGAGAGAGAGAGAGAGAGGCAGAGAGAGAGAGAGCGAGAGAGAGAGGCAGAGAGAGCGAGAGACAGACAGACAGGTGTACAGCAACAACAGTATTGGCAATGGCAGTCAAGCAGGACCATGGCAGGAGGCTCCACCAGGATCCATGAGAACCTGCGAGACGAGAAAGCACAAGAACTCCGGGGAAGAAGTGTTAGTAACATGCATTAATGGGACATGAATGAGTGCATAAAGAAAGAGGAAGGGAGGAGCTCAGTGCACCATGGGAAATCCCCCGATAGTCTAGGCCTATAGCAGCATAACTAAGGGATGGTTCAGGACTCACCTGATCCAGCCCTAACTATAAGCTTTATCAAAGAGGAATGTCTTAAGCCTACTCTTGAATGTGGTGAGGGTGTCTGCCTCCCGAACCACAACTGGAAGCTGGTTCCACAGGAGAGGAGCTTGGTAACTGAAGGCTCTGGCTCCTGTTCTACTTTTAGAGACTATAGGAACCACAAGTAGCCCAGCATTCAGAGAACGTAGTGTTCTAGTGGGGTAATAGGGTACTATGAGCTCTTTAAGATATGAAGGAGCCTGACCATGAAGAGCTTTATAGGTGAGGAGGAGGATTTTAAATTCTATTCTAAATTTTACAGGGAGCCAATGCAGAGAAGCTAGTACAGGAGAGATGTGATCTCTTTTTCTAGTTCCTGTCAGTACTCGTGCTGCAGCGTTCTGAATTAATTGGAGTGTTTTAATGGACTTATTGGGGCAACCTGATAATAAAGAGTTGCAGTAATCCAGCCTTGAAGTAACAAATGCATGGTTTAGTTTTTCTGCATCTGTCTGTGATAGGATGTGTCTAATTTTTCTAATATTACGTAAATGAAAGAAGGCGGTCCTAGAGGTCTGCTTTATGTGGGAGTTAAATGACAAATCCTGATCAAAGATAACTCGAAGATTCCTGACAGTGGTGCTAGAGGCCAAGTTAATGCCATCTAGAGTGACTATATCTTTAGACAATGAGTCTCTAAGGTTTTTGGCGCCAAGAACAAGAATTTCGTTTTTTTCTGAGTTTAACATCAGAAAATTGCAGGTCATCCAGGATTTTATGTCCGTAAGACATGTTTGTAATTTAGATAATTGATTAATTTCATTGGGTTTGATTGATAGATATCACTGCGTATCATCTGCATAACAGTGAAAGTTAATGGAGTGATTCTTAATAATGTTGCCTAAAGGGAGCATATATAAAGTAAATAGTATTGGTCCAAGTACAGAACCTTGTGGAACTCCATGACTAACTGTAGTATTTATTGAAGATTCATCGTTAACATGTACAAACTGCGAGCGATCTGATAAATATGACTTAAACCAGCTTAGTGCGGTTCCTTTAATGCCAATTTGATGCTCAAGTCTCCCCAAAAGAAAATCATGGTCAATGGTGTCAAATGCAGCACTAAGATCTAATAATACAAGTACAGAGACAAGTCCATTGTCAGAAGCAGTCAGAAGGTCATTATTAACTTTAACCAGAGCTGTCTCTGTGCTATGATGAACTCTAAATCCTGACTGAAAATCCTCAAATAAACTATTGTTATGTAGAAAGTCACACAACTCTTTGGCGACTACTTTCTCCAGAATCTTAGAGAGGAAGGGGAGGTTAGAAATCGGTCTATAGTTGGCTAAAACCCCTGGGTCAAGAGTGGACTTTTTAAGAAGGGGTTTAATTACAGCTACTTTAAAGGACTGTGGTACATATCCTGATAATAAAGAAAGATTAATCATATCCAGTAAAGAAGTGCCAATTAAGGGAACAACTTCTTTAAGCAGCCTAGTTGGGATCGGGTCTAATAGACAGGTTGATGGCTTCGATGAAGAAATGATTGAAGTTAACTGATGAAGATCGATAGCAGAGAAACAGTCTAAATATATATCTAAGTTTACATTGACAGAAGTCCCTAAACTTAGAGAGCCACTGATAACTGTTGATGGCAGTTGGTGATTAATTTTCTCTCTAATAGTAATAATTTTATTATAGAAGAAGCTCATGAAGTCATTGCTACTTAAGTTTATGGGGATATGTGGCTCAATAGAGCTGTGACTCTCTGTCAGCCTGGCTACAGTGCTGAAGAGGAACCTAGGGTTGTTCTTATTTTCTTCTATTAGTGCTGAGTAATAGGCTCCTCTGGCATTACGGAGGGTCTTTCTATAAATTTTAAGATTATCTTGCCAATTTGAGCGATATTCTGATAATTTGGAAGAGCGCCATTTCCTTTCAGATTTTCTAGCTATTTGTTTTAACTGGCGGGTTTGGTGGTTATACCAAGGTGCTAGTCTCCTATGTTTTAATAATTTCCTTTTTATAGGAGCGATAGAGTCTAATGTTGATCGTAGTGAGCCTGTAGCACTATCGACAAAAATAAGTATATTAAACTGAAAAAACCCTATGTAATACTAAACTGTGGGTGGACTGTAGAGCTGTTTGAGAGAGGGGCATGCTCTTATCACCATGGTCCCATCTGAAGTGCCTTGTTATCTGTTATGGTAGTACTACAATACCCACAGTCAGTGAAGTCACAAAACCAGCTAATGATAAACTGCCAAATGATCAGCTGTTATCCAGCACTCAGCAGGAGGAATGTCCCCCTGATTCAATGTTTCAATTCAATTTTATTTGTATAGCACCAATTCATAATAGAAATTATCTCAGGACACTTCAAATAGAGCAGGTCTAGACCGAACTCCTTATAACATTATTTACAGAGACCCAACAGTTCCCACCATTAGCAAGACCTTGGAGACAGCGGCAAGTTATCACTGATTGTGTATTGTAATTGATGTTTAGATTTAGATGCAGTGTGTAACACTGAGGAGGGTCTATTGTCAGAAATATAATATTACATTTTTTTCAATTCAATTTTATTTGTATAGTGCCAATTCATAGAAGGCAGAAACCTAGGACAGACCCTTCAGCTCTAGGTGGGTGGTCGTCTGCCTTGACCAGTTGGGGTGAGAGAGAGATAGAGAGAGAGACAGACAGGTGCACAGCAACAACATTAACAACAACTACACTAATAGTAGAGACTGATGATGATGAACATGACAACAGCAATGATTGGGGACAATGAGCAGTGACAGCAGCAACAACAGTAACCGTAGCAATAATAATACTTATAATAATAATAATAACACTGATATCAGTGATATCAGAAATGGCAGTCAAGCAGGACCATGGCAGGAGGCTCCACCAGGATCCATGAGAACCTGCGAGACGAGAAAGCACAAGAACTCCGGGGAAGAAGTGAAGTTAGTAACAAGCATTAATGGGACACGAATGAGTGCAGAAAGAGAGAGGAGAGGAAGAGAGGAGCTCAGTGCACCATGGGAAATCCCCCGATAGTCTAGGCCTATAGCAGCATAATTAAGGGACGGTTCAGGACTAATATTCATAGGCATGTTTTCATTAGTGTTTAATCAGCATATAAATGAATTGTACAAGGTATCAATCAACAGCCAGTACATTCATTTACTATATTTTTTTTTATATATTTCTGAGTTTCTCACTGATGCTTTTGAGCTTGAAGTTCACACTGTAAAAACTGTTGGAGTTTGTATGAAACTGGGAGAGCTAGTGACTGAACTTTCAACAACCCCGAATGTTTGTTCCATTCTGAGTTGTTGTACACATGATGAGCTGCAGAATCTGCTGCTTTCTGTTTTACTGCCGCAGGCTTCAACATGGAGGACGTCTCTGCACAGATATCACAGGGTGAAACATGTTTTATCACGTCAGCTATGGTTTCATATTCTGCTGTGTGCACTCTGCTGGAGCCACTGCACACACAAAATGAATTCAACTGTCAGGCAGCTCATTTCATTAAAGACAACCTCATTTTTAAAGTAGCTGCCTTGTTTCTCTTCAGCATTCCTCAACAGATTTCTGTTTGCAGTATAGAGGAACCCTGGCGACAGATGAAATTAACCCAGCAGCTTTCAGGAGTCTCTACCGGTCTCTGTCAGGACCACGTTTGTCAAAAGAAAACTTTATTTCCAGATGCAGAATGTTAAGTTCTGTATGGCGGGGTGGGGTGGAGGTGGGTTGCCAAGCGTCTTGTAGAAGAAGCAGCAAAGGTAGGCAGGCTAAAGCAGCTGAATGATGATGATGATGGTGATGTGCCAATTGGATGCTTGAAGGGAATTAGCTGATGTGTGTTTACAACCAGCTGATGGAATTGAGGGCAGAGCTTGACTTCATTGCCTGCCTGAACTCACGCAGTGCTCAATTTATGGCCCAAGTTTTAGCCCTTTAGTTTGATTTCTAACTCACACAATGAAAGCATGTCAACCTTCAACAATTTTAAGTGAACAAAAATAAAATAATTATTGAGTCATTTTGGATGGATAATATTAATATTATAAGTGTCATGATTTAAATAAACTACAGTAATGATTTATCATTTAAACACTAACCCTAACTGGCTGTGAGAGAAACAACAGCTGTTTGTTCATTCAATAGGAGAGTTAAACAGATAAATGTTGAATCCCTGAGGCCTTTTTTATGATTTAGAGCCCCGTGGCTTTGACAAAATATAATAGACAAAACAAATGTTTTAACATTTCATCCACTGAAATGCCCGCCATATGTTCCATCCCCACCTTGAGCCTTTTCCTGGGTGGCTGCTGGTCTTGAGTTTCTGAGTCAGAGCTAGGCTGTTTATGGACTTCAAAGCCAAAAAATAAAAGTCTCTGATGAAAATAGAGAATTTAACAGTGTCTGCTGGTTTATCAGTATGTTTGACTTGCGGCAGGAGATTAGTATTATAAAACACAAAATATCTACAGCTAGTCCCACAACCTCCGCAACGTAGCACTGATGTTTGCCACCATTAGCAGGCAGAATCATTATAGCCCCACTTTATGTCAGTAACTGAGTGGTAATCACTGACAGACATGTTCAACTGTGCAACACACAAATAACAGAATCCTCCACAAAGTCTACGTACACGTTTATTTTGATAGAAAATTAGAAATAAAGAAATACAAGCAAGTAGGAGGCAGTGGATGAAACAGTTTCTGATTGGCTGTCACACGTAGATGTCATCCACACACATCTGCTGTGTGATTGGTGTTTCCATGGGAACCCCAGGATTACAGGAGACTGTGGAGAGAAGAACGAGTTAGCATATGTTAGCATATGTTAGCAACCGTTAATGTATGTGTGTGTGTTACCATAAAGATTCTCTTCCTCTTTCTCCTGCTTCTTCTCCTCCTCCTCTTTCTTGTCGTTGCTATGGTTACCGTGCATCACCACATAAACATTTTCGTGCAACGAACCTGAAGCAGGAGAGCAGATTACACTCCTTTAACTTCATATGAACATAAATCTGATAGAGGAACTGGAGCTCTGGCTGGCTCTGATTGGCTCTCGTACCTGTGGTCGTCCTCATCCTCAGGTTTCTCTTCCTCATGACCACGAAGAGGATGACAAAGAACAGCAGCAGGAGGAAGCAGCACATCGAGACAGACACCACGACACTTCTGCTGCTGCTGCTGCTACTACTGCGATCTACAGACAGACAGAGATACAGAGATAGAGACAGAGAGACAGACAGACTGTTTACTGGTATTCTCAGCAGAACATTGTAATTATATTATTTGATATAATTAAAAATATGATGTGGGGAAACGTCAGAAAGGACCTGAGTGTGAAAAGCATGTAGCAGGTCTCTGTTCTACTGTGGGTTTCCTCAGCTCACAATCTGACAACACTGGCCCGTTGTACCACACAACTTTTATTAATCATAGCAGTCACAACATACAACAACTTCATTAATCTCTCCCGCTCACTCTCACTTGTCTGTCCACCACCCAGGTCCAGCACACTACTGCAATATAAAGAGAGAGTGATTACTTAATGAGTGCCAGCTGAGATAATCAACTCACCTGGCACTGCTCTCAGCCTTCCCCACACCACTCTCACCTGCAGTGTAAACCACACCCACCTCCACAAGCATTTGTTCTTGCTGTGTATTTAAACAAATTCCTTAGACCACTGGTTCCCAAACCTTTTCCTCAAGGGACCTCTTGAGTAAACTGACTCAGTGACATATTTCATGGATATTTTATATTATATTTAAAACTGTACAACTGTATTATGTATTTTCTATCATTTTTAACAATCATACCGACAGACCCTCACAACCCTCCATGAAGCTTTGGTGAGCCCTAGTGGGGGTCCTGACCCCCAGGTTGGGAACCGCTGCCTTAGATCTAGTCCCAAGATGTCTGAAACTAATCACAATATCATGCAAATCTTAATGAAATAATGCACATAAAAAGTCCAAAGGTCAAAGGTTAACTACTGCAGATAAAATATAGAAATGAATTATTTTTGTATTTTTGAAGGAAAAAGGAAAAGTGGATGGGTTGATACTGTTCAGTCCTGGCCTCACCCTCCACTACGAGCCGGAAGTAAGTCATCTTCATGTTGTTTCCCTCTTCATCGAACAGGCTCATGTTGTAGTGTCCAGAGTCGTCAGTCTGAACTCGGCTGAATCTCAGTGAGCCGTCCTTCAGCAGCTCGCAGCGTCGGTTTGGACATATTGTATTGTTCCTCTTCAGTGAGACCACCAGCTGGGGGTGAGTCCACCTGACGTCACTTATGTTCTTCAGCTCCACCTCCTTCAGGTTTGATGTCAGCAGAACGGTCTCTCCGCTGTGTGCAGTGATGATCCCAGCAGAGGCAGCTGGGGTCAAAGGTCAGGCAGAAACATCAGCTCATTTATCACATGACTGCAATCAAGTCAAAATTTTTTTCTCACACAAGTTTTCAACACACTGCAAATAAAACTGTATAAGAATGTAGATAAAAATAGTCAAACATTGCGTATGACGGCAGTAAAGTTTGATAATGATCTTTGTGGTTAACGTTTCCTATTTCCTCATTAATGCTGTTTTCTGACAGCCTTGCCTCCAAGTTATGTGAGTAAAATGACTTTCGAGTTGAATCAACAGTAAAGTACATCTTGTAGGACAAAGAGAACAGATGAGTCGGGTCTGAAAGGTTTCCAGAGCAGGAGCTGTTCAAATACTAAATGCCTAACCCTAACCCTGATTGCTGCTGGCACCGATGCTGCTCACAGGAACAGCTTCTGACAAGAAGCTAGGACTCTTGTGGGGACTCCCATTGACGGGCTATTCAAAACAAATTTCAGTAGGATAATTATATCTCAATAATTGTAACTGATCATCACTGAAATGACACTAATAGGCTTTAAATGTCATTATGTGTCTATCTGCTAAAATGTGAAAGTTATAACAGCTTACAGTAATCACTCAGTAGGAGGACGTTCCACAGGAAGGGACCACGGTGTGAAATTACTGTAATGTATGAGTCCGCAGAACCAGAAGATTGTAGGAGACTTGCTGGTGTTTATGGTAGAATCAGATTTGACAGATAACCAAGTGCTAACTGATAACCAACCAAGTGGAGTTCCAGTGTTTATAGGAAGCCAGTGGAGAGAGATCAGGATTGGAGCATTGTGTATTCTGGTTCTGGCTCAGATTATTGTTGCAGATTAGTGTGGTAAATGATCAAATCTCTCTATCAGATAATGAGAGAAATGGGTGGATTCTGGATTTATTACAGAGATGGTGAAAAGCAGTCTGCACTGTAGACCTGATGTGGAATTACAGTGAAGACAGCAGATGACCTGTGAAAACTTTTAACTGATTTGCTCTTATAGATTACATAATATATGTTTGAGTTTGGTTGTATTGGTTATATTGTGTTAAAACGTTAGAAGACATCCAGTTTTCAGTTTCAGACCTAAAGATTTGAGAAAGTAATTCACTGTGTTGAACTGGAATTTATAACTGTGTATCATCAGTGTAGTGTCGAATACAAATAATGTAACCTAATAGTAACATTTATATACTGAAGAGAAGCACAGAGCCTTGAGGTACACCAGATATAACTGTGGTCAAGTTAGACATGTTATTATTATGAGGAACACAAGTTGATCTGAAACTGGAAGCGGTTTAGCAACCAGCTAACAGCAGTCAAATATAATCATCAAAAGATTGTTTGTTCAACAGTCTGTAACTGTTTCCAGCAGTGTGGTTGTACAGAAGGTTAGAACCTGCTCTGTAATTACTGACAATGTTAGAATCAACATTTGATTTCTTTACAAATGCTTTAATAAAATCTGTTTTAAATTCTGAGGGATCCGCAGCAGCAGTGAGGTCCTGTAACCCGGAGCAGGTGAGACTTCAGCAGGTACAGCAGTCCTATTACCATAGAAACAGTTTATAATGGCAGGAAGAGACAAACTGACCAACTGACCGTCACTCTTCATCGCCATCATCATCATCAGGATCAATAACCACACCAGAACCAACATGGCGGCCTGTAGTTGACTCAAGCTGCAGGACTGTGCTGGCTCCGCCCCCTCAGCTGTCAATCACTGTAAGGAGGAAACACACACTTTCAGTGGTGAGTGTGAGAATGAATAATGTGTAAATGTCATTTGTTCTGTCTGTTTTAATAAAACTTAGTAACTGTGGTATCTTTATATTCTTTTATCTTTCTACTTCGACTCCACTGCATTTATCTGACAGCTTTAATTACTTCACTTACTTATATGGTTTCATATAAAATAAGGTATTATTAATATTATTATTGTTATTATTATTATTATTATTACACAGTAAATTAAGCCAACTGGAACGACATATAAAGATGACTAAATGAAATGTAACTGAGTGACTTTTAATAACAGCTGTGTACTTTTACTAAAGTAAGGTTTGAATGCAGGAATATATTTATATAAATATATATATATTATATATGTACAGTATATAATGCATATAATGTGATTAATGTGAATAATGAGCAGATATATAATGTATATAATGTACAGTATATAATGTGTATATAATGTGAATAATGTGAATAATGAGCAGATATATAATGTATATAATGTACAGTATATAATGTATATAATGTGAAGAATGTGAATAATGAGCAGATATTTAATGTGATTAATATATACAATATCAATAATGAGAAGTATATATATATATATATATATATATATATAATGTTATAAAGAGTTCGGTCTAGACCTGCTCTATTTGAAAAGTGTCCTGAGATAACTTCTGTTATGAATTGGCGCTATACAAATAAAATTAAATTGAATTGAATTCAATTCAATTGAATTGACTTCAATTGAATTGAATATAATGTATAGGGATGCTCGATATTGGCTTTTCTGCCGATATCCGATATTCCGATATTGTCCAACTCTCAATTTCCGATACCGATACCGATATATGCAGGCTTTTTACACCAAAACTGTTAGGTAACAACATAACATATCTCCTATTGTGGAATTAACACATTATGCCTAATTTTATTGTGATGCCCCACTGGTAGGGTGGCCATTTCCTTCACATCAAAAAGGAGGACACTTTGCATACACAGGGACACGCAAGCAGATATTTGTTGATCCGGTTTTAAATTTTCATGTTTTTCCACCAGATTACATAAAGGTGCATACACATACCACATAGCTAATAATAAATATACAAGATACAGCTCATGACAACGTGCCCTTCCAATTCAGATTACATAGGTCTAATAAACATCATACAGAAACTGTTTTCATGTGGATAGATAAAGGGTAAAAAAAATGCAGCACCTTCTGTGTTAAGGAACAGCTCATAGCAGGGTAACATATTTAAGGTGCATTGCGCTTATTTTGTGTTAGTATTAAAATCATTCAGCTTTAAATTGTTTGCTTGTTAGCCACGGTTAGCAACCAACCAGTCTAGCGTAGTTGTTGTTATTCGTCATCTAGCGCACTCCGGTAAACGTTCCATGCTAGGCTCGGAAATGCTAAAGCCTACAGAACAAACATCGGTTATAAAAACCCGATACCTATAATTCCCGATATTAAATTTTTTGGTGAATATCGGCCGATAATATCAGGGGGCCAGTATTATCGGACATCCCTAATAATGTATATATGTGAATAATGAGCAGAATATAATGGAAATAATTTAAATAATGAGCAGTAGCGTATATAATGGAAATAATGGAAATAATGAGCAGTATATATAATGTATATAATGTGAATAATGTGAATAATGAGCAGATATATATAATGTGAATAATGTGAATAATGAGCAGATATATATAATGTGAATAATGTGAATAATGAGCAGATATATATAATGTATATAATGTAAATAATGAGCAGTATATATAATGTACATATGTGAATAATTTGAATAATGAGCAGTTTATATAATGTATACAATGTAAATAATGAGCAGTATATATAATATATATGTATATAATGTGAATAATGAGCAGTTTATATAATGTATATAATGTAAATAATGAGCAGTATATATAATATATATGTGAATAATGTGAATAATGAGCAGTATATATAATATATATGTGAATAATGTGAACAATTAGCAGTATATATAATGTACATATGTGAATAATGTGAATAATGAGCAGATATATATAATGTATATAATGTGAATAATGTGAATAATGAGCAGTATATAATGTAAATAATGTAAATATTAAGCAGTATATATAATATATATGTGAATAATGTGAATAATGAGCAGAATATACTGTATATAATGTGAATAATGAGCAGTATATATAATGTATATAATGTGAGTAACGAGCAGGTTGAGAGAGTTGGGTCCTACCTTTCTGAGCGATGATGGCGACTGTAACTCGAACCAACAGTCTGAAGCAGGAAATGAGAGCAGAAACCTCTGAGAGACCACACTGTTTCACTTTGTTCAGATGGTGCTAAATCAGGAGCCCAAAACCAACACTTTTATTCACACACTTTATCAAGCCTCAGTCCTGCTGTCAAATGGAGCTTCACTGGAGCTTCATGTGTCGCTCCCATCCAGAAGAAAACTATTCAATTCAATTCAATTTTATTTGTATAGCACCAATTCATAACAGAAGTTATCTCAGGACACTTTTCAAATAGAGCAGGTCTAGACCGAACTCCTTATAACTATCAACTATTATACTTTCTTTACATTTATTAGTTCCTTTGGAGTCTGTGAACATCAGTCATTATTCTATTGAACTGAACACTTCAACAACCTGTTTGACTAGTATTTCCTCACTTTCTCTCTTTCTGTGTTTTGTTGTGAGCCTGAATGCAGCAGCTGTTGAACGTCTCTGATCTCAGTATTGATCCACACTGACTGCAGAGGAGAGTTTTGTCCAGCAGGTCGTGCTGCTGCATTATAGATCACAAGAACTGTTCAGAGAGTTGTTGGTTATTTAAAGAAAAAGATTAATGACATGATATTTGAATCGTGTAAATTAATCACATCATAAACCATGACCTGCAGAAAAGTTACAGCTGTGATGATTCTGGTGGAAACAGATGATGAAGTGGGAAGAAAGAAAGAAAAGAAGAAAAGTAGCCTTGATCCCGCAATACCAAGTAACTACAGACCAAACTCCAAACTCCATCAGCTCCAAAAACAAAATTTATAACCAAAGGTTTTAGTATACAATCAATTAATCCGTTTTATTATTTACAACAACAAGTTGGACAACAAAGTTTCAGTCTGGTTTTAGAGCTAATTACAGTACTGTATCAGCCCTTGTGAAAGTAGCCAGTGACATCAGGATAAAGCTTGATGCAGTGGTACTTCTTGATCTGACTGCTGCTTTTGATACAGTCGATCTTTTAAACAGACTTAGGGATCATATTGGACTGTTGGGAAGTTTTTTAACTGTTTTTTATGTTATCTTTCTGGAAGAGAGTTCACTCACAATAACAATCTTTCAAAAACCTCCAAAATAACTTGTGGGGTTTCCCAAGGATCGATTCTTTTTAATCTATATATGCTACCCCTTGGTGATGTTAAGTTGACACAGGACCAATTGATTCCCTTTTTAAATGAATTTTAGATATTAATGTATTCAAAAAAGATACAGTATATACTGATCAATATCATCCATAAAGATACAGTGTATACTGATCAATCAGGAATGTGGTTAGAACAGTTCTTTACAGTGAAGGGCAGAAGGTTTGATAATCTTCAGTAACTAATCAATACATCTGTGGTCCTCCTATGAGAGGACAATCTGAGTACCATGTAGTACAGCATACATTTGAGGCAACTTATTTAAGATAATTTTTTTTATGGCAACATATTGTTAACTTTCTTTTGAGTATATATTAACTTACACAATGCAATACATGCATCACAACAAAAGGGATAATATAGACCTAAAACCTAAAATATGAACACTAAAGGTAAATGGATTTGTATTTATACAATGCTTTTCTAGCAAAGACCACTACTTAGAAAAAGCACATCTCTGTGTTTCTATTTATTTGTATAAAATGGGTTTAATGAAATTAATCAACAGATTAACAGGATATCACAATCTAAAGATACCAACAGAATACAGAGTTAATTGACGTTTTACATATTTTTACATTTTACTAAATGAGGCCAAATGATGTATAGTTAGAACAAATTACAGTGTTTATCAATATATATATATATTAACAACAACTACTTTATAATCAGAATGTTAAAACTTTACAAAACAGACAAGAGGTCAAAGGTCAAACCAAGACTAGGAAACTTATAACTAAGAATAATCAAATGAAAATAATAGACTCAAATACAAAGACTCAAAACCATATTGATGGTTCAATTATTAATTAAGTAGAAGAGTCCGTCAAATAAACGTCTGAAAGCTCTTGCGATTCCACCTCCACCTCCACCTCCAGCTCCAGCTCCACCTCCAGCTGCTGCCCGAGCTGCTGCCTGAGCTGCTCGGTTCCTTTCTTCCTTCAAGAAGGTCTCAACCATCCTCACTGGTGAAGTGTTGTCCACCACTGAAACTGATCTGATCCCAGGATGGTGTTTCCTGATGAACTCTCAGTGAACACATATAAACTGATCAGTTAACTGATTGATAAATGGAACTAAAGAGGTGTAAGGAATATAGAAATGTGTCTGCTGACTGACAGACTGCTGGTAGTCTCAAACACTCAGTGGACTTGGAACCCATCACTACAGGACATCTACACAACCAGGGTCATCAGGAGGGCCCACAACATCATAAAGGACAATTCCCACCCACAACACAGCCTCTTCACACTTCAGGTGCTACAGGAGTGTGAAAGCAAGGACAAAAAGACTCTCTAAAAGTTTCTACCCCCAGGCCATCAGACTCTTAGGCCCTTCCTCACGAATACGCAGCCTCACCCAATACGATGTTGTTTCAAAAAAAATATCCGTAAACACAGCGTCGTTTCCAGAAGTATCTGCGTCCACACGGATTCACTGAAAACAACCCAAAACGCTGTAGTACATATGCCAGGCCTGTATGTGGCGCTGTGACGCCGCCACACCAATACACTAAAACCAGAAGAGAAGCCATGGAGCATGTGCTGTTTACTAACAAGTAGTAGTAGTCCGCCATTGTTGTTGTTGTTATGATGCATCTGGCGGCGGCGGCGGCTGAGGTTAAGGGCTAGAGAGGCGGGGCTAATACATCATCATTTCAAAAAATAATCCGTTATCACTGTCCTGACGACTCCGGGCAATCCGGCGTTTTTGGATTTTCCCACTCTGGGACCCGTTTTCAAAAAATATCGTTTTCACATCCCGAAAACGCCGTATTCGTCTGAACGTGAGGCCCATATGATAAAGTATTTATCCGGATACGTGAAAAACGTATTCGTGAGGACAGGCCCTTAAAGAGTAAAACAGTACAGTTCACCCACTGCACAGTGAAAACCTCACAAATACACATTTAGCTGATTTTTAATTAAGAAGATGTAAACAGTGTCTGCAGGTTATAGAACATAAAACACATTATCTCCAGCATACATCCATTGTTTTCAATAAAACAACATTTGCACAAAGCAAGCCGATCCACTTTTCCATGTTGATAAGAGCATTAAAATGAGAAAAAATAATGGGACAAAAAGAAATCAAGGGACATTTAGAATAGATAAAAATGTGCAATTATTTGCGATTAATTGCGAGTTAATATTTTAATCGTTTGACAGCACTAATGATTACTGATAGCGTCTCTGCTCTTTCTCCTTTTCTTTTAGTAGTAATACTTAGCATCAAGCACTTTCCCACCTTTCAGTTCTGTTTTAATATCCTCCATTGTTACAGATACTGGAACCCAGCAGCTGATCCAGGAACATGGGTTTTACCTTTTTTCCCCATCCAGTATGTTCATTTTCAGAAGATTGTCTTGCTGTTCTTCGCTCACTGCGTGCATAAGTAATCGTTTGTTATTCAGATACTTTGCAAACTTCACTTTGCCCATATCCTTTTTTAAAGCTTTAGCCACTGTGATGAGATGAAAATGCTCAGCAAACCTAATAATGACTTTACATTCATAGTTTTGGTTTCCGACCCTCGGGCTTCGATATGCTTTAGCTCTCCTGACAGTTTCATCCGACTCTTCCCCTGACTGCTCAAACTACTCCCATTTCTGTTCTATATATATACATTTTCTGCCACTCCATATCTCCATAATCCCAACATTCCTCCTCCTAGCTTCCAAAAGTCATGACTTTACATTCACGATACAGTTGTTTGTAATTACCTGCTCGATCAAACCATCCGCATCCACTCCGTATCACCTCTCTCTCTCCTCCCCTTCCTTCCTTTTTCACCAGCTCAGGAGCGCCCCGATCTGGTGATTATTTAGAAATAAAAACCTCCAGATTCTTGTAGAAATCAGAATAATGTCACAGAGGGTTGGAGTCTTTGGTAAAGGATTCAATTCAATTCAATTCAATTCAATTTTATTTGTATAGCGCCAATTCATAACAGAAGTTATCTCAGGACACTTTTCAAATAGAGCAGGTCTAGACCGAACTCTTTAACATTAATTACAGAGACCCAACAGTACCACCATGAGCAAGCACTTGGCGACAAGGGCAAGGAAAAACTGCCTGTTAAAAGGCAGAAACCTAGGACAGATCCTCCGGCTCTAGGTGGGTGGTCGTCTGTCTCGACCAGTTGGGGTGAGAGAGAGAGAGAGAGAGAGAGAGAGAGAGAGAGAGAGAGAGCGACAGACAGACAGACAGGTGCACAGCAACAACAGTATTGGCAATGGCAGTCAAGCAGGACCATGGCAGGAGGCTCCACCAGGATCCATGAGAACCTGCGAGACGAGAAAGCACAAGAACTCCGGGGAAGAAGTGGAGTTAGTAACATGCATTAAAGGGACATGAATGAGTGCAGAAAGAGAGAGGAAGAGAGTAGCTCAGTGCACCATGGGAAATCCCCCGATAGTCTAGGCCTATAGCAGCATAACTAAGGGATGGTTCAGGACTCACCTGATCCAGCCCTAACTATAAGCTTTATCAAAGAGGAATGTCTTAAGCCTACTCTTGAATGTGGTGAGGGTGTCTGCCTCCCGAACCACAACTGGAAGCTGGTTCCACAGGAGAGGAGCTTGGTAACTGAAGGCTCTGGCTCCTGTTCTACTTTTAGAGACTATAGGAACCACAAGTAGCCCAGCATTCAGAGAACATAGTGTTCTAGTGGGGTAATAGGGTACTATGAGCTCTTTAAGATATGAAGGGGCCTGACCATGAAGAGCTTTATAGGTGAGGAGGAGTATTTTAAATTCAATTCTACATTTTATAGGGAGCCAATGCAGAGTAGCTAGTACAGGAGAGATGTGATCTCTTTTTCTAGTTCCTGTCAGTACTCGTGCTGCAGCGTTCTGAATTAATTGGAGCGTTTTAATGGACTTATTGGGGCAACCTGATAATAAAGAGTTGCAGTAATCCAGCCTTGAAGTAACAAATGCATGGATTAGTTTTTCTGCATCTGTCTGTGATAGTATGTGTCTAATTTTTCTAATATTACGTAAATGAAAGAAGGCAGTCCTAGAGGTCTGCTTTATGTGGGAGTTAAATGACAAATCCTGATCAAAGATAACTCCAAGATTCCTGACAGTGGTGCTAGAGGCCAAGTTAATGCCATCTAGAGTGACTATATCTTTAGACAATGAGTCTCTAAGGTTTTTGGGGCCAAGAACAAGAATTTCGTTTTTTTCTGAGTTTAACATCAGAAAATTGCAGGTCATCCAGGATTTTATGTCCTTAAGACATGTTTGTAATTTAGATAATTGATTAATTTCATTGGGTTTGATTGATAGATATAACTGCGTATCATCTGCATAACAGTGAAAGTTAATGGAGTGATTCCTAATAATGTTGCCTAAAGGGAGCATATATAAAGTAAATAGTATTGGTCCAAGTACAGAACCTTGTGGAACTCCATGACTAACTTTAGTATTTATGGAGGATTCATCGTTAACATGTACAAACTGAGAACGATCTGATAAGTATGACTTAAACCAGGTTAGGGCAGTTCCTTTAATGCCAATTTGATGCTCAAGTCTCTGTAAAAGAATATCATGGTCAATGGTGTCAAATGCAGCACTAAGATCTAATAATACAAGTACAGAGACAAGTCCATTGTCAGAAGCAGTCAGAAGGTCATTATTAACTTTAACCAGAGCTGTCTCTGTGCTATGATGAACTCTAAATCCTGACTGAAAATCCTCAAATAAACTATTGTTATGTAGAAAGTCACACAACTCTTTGGCGACTACTTTCTCCAGAATCTTAGAGAGGAACGGGAGGTTAGAAATCGGTCTATAGTTGGCTAAAACCCCTGGGTCAAGAGTAGACTTTTTAAGAAGGGGTTTAATTACAGCTACTTTAAAGGACTGTGGTACATATCCTGATAATAAAGAAAGATTAATCATATCCAGTAAAGAAGTGCCAATTAAGGGAACAACTTCTTTAAGCAGCCTAGTTGGGATCGGGTCTAACAGACAGGTTGATGGCTTCGATGAAGAAATGATTGAAGTTAACTGATGAAGATCGATAGCAGAAAAACAGTCTAAATATACATCTAAGTTTACATTGACAGAAGTCCCTGAACTTGGAGAGCCACTGATAACTGTTGATGGCAGTTGGTGATTAATTTTTTCTCTAATAGTAATAATTTTATTATAGAAGAAGCTCATGAAGTCATTGCTACTTAAGTTTATGGGGATATGTGGCTCGATAGAGCTGTGACTCTCTGTCAGCCTGGCTACAGTGCTGAAGAGGAACCTAGGGTTGTTCTTATTTTCTTCTATTAGTGCTGAGTAATAGGCTCCTCTGGCATTACGGAGGGCCTTTCTATAAATCTTAAGATCATCTTGCCAATTTGAGCGATATTCTGATAATTTGGAAGAGCGCCATTTCCTTTCAGATTTCCTAGCTATTTGCTTTAACTGGCGGGTTTGGTGGTTATACCAAGGTGCTAGTCTCCTATGTTTTAATAATTTCCTTTTTATAGGAGCGATAGAGTCTAATGTTGATCGTAGTGAGCCTGTAGCACTATCGACAAGATTATCAATTTCAGAGGGACTAAAGTTGTTATAGGACTCTGTTAAATTCAGACATGGCATTGAATTAAACACTGAAGGAATCTCCTCCTTAAATTTAGCTACAGCACTGTCAGATAGACATCTGCTGTAGGAAGTTTTGCCTAATGGCTTATAATCTAATAGTATGAATTCAAAAGTTACTAAATAATGGTCAGATAGGAAAGGATTATGTGGGAAGACTATTAAATGTTCAAAATCAATGCCATATGATAAAACAAGGTCAAGAGTGTGATTAAAACAATGAGTTGGTTTATTTACACTCTGACAGAAGCCAATTGAGTCTATTTCTAGAGTTACATGTTGTTATGAACACGTTAGGAATTGTTCAAATGTGATATTTCTGATAGGGAGTTGGGTGGTTTTCTCTGGCTTAGAAATATTATTATCATATGTATGAATATGTATTTGTTTATTTGTGTAATTAAAATTTGTATGCTCCAACCACCTAGAATTCTGAAGAAAATACAATAAAGATAAATTTCTTGTACAGCTTGGGGTACAATGTATTTTATACACTGGAGATCAAAATTGAAGAACAATTTATGAACACAGAAATAATGTAAACTTCATTGCTCAACATTTAAAGGATTTTTTGTTGTGGCTATACCATGCTACTAGAACAGTGTTTTAACGTCTAGCGTTAATCTCGCGATAAAAAAATTGACGGCGTTAAAATGGGTTTGCGTTAACGCCAGACAAGAATAAACCACAATGATCCTTTAAACCTTCAGTGAAGGAACTCACCGCCTTAGTTTTTAGGTGTGTACATTATTTATGCCATGGTCTTCATATTGACTTGTGTTTTACATTGTATTGTGTCTATTACATTCACTTTGAACCTGGGCTGCAGGTTCGAATGAAAGCTGCTGTATACAAAGAATTCTAGTTGTCTGATATGATGATAAAACATATTTCTTATTATTTGAACAAACTTTATGAAGATGTTGCAGATTTAACTCTCCAACAACATCATTGTTATATATGCCAGACAACATACATTCAACAGTAGGGTTATTATGGTATGGATGGAGGCGAAGGTACTGAACATAAACATAAAATGTCAGATATATTTATATAAATATAAAACATTCACATTTCATAATGAACATACAAATACAGTTTCTCCGTCAGTGGCTCACTTTATCCACAGGTTGTAACAGGGAAATATTACTGGGTGTTTGTGTCTCTGCCATCACTGCTGCTGTCGCTGCTTTCTGCTCTTTAACTGCACACAGACACACACACACAGTTCAGAGAGGACTGGGAACTGTCAGTGATCAACAGAATAAAGGTGTGTATCCGCTCTACACAATAAAAGTTTACAGACAGATGATCAGTCACAGATACAGAGACAGGAGAACAACAGATTTGTTTCAGGAAAGAAAGATTTATTCTGATTAACTTCTTTTGGAACATGTTTTCACCAATAGTCTGTTTTCACCATCTGTTATTGCAGTCATTAATAGCAGTCTGTCCTCAGGTGTGGTCCCTGAAAATTTTAAACATGCAGTAGTACAACCTCTGATTAAAAAACCTGCTCTAGATCCTGCAGTTCTTGCTAATTTCAGGCCTATCTCCAAACTGCCTTTCCTTTCAAAAATCCTGGAGAAGATTGTGCACAGTCAATTAATGGCCTTTCTGGTTTTCCAATCCGGTTTTAAAACCCTGCACAGCACAGAATCAGCTCTTTTAAGAGTTTTTAATGACAAATTTTTAGCTACTGACTCTGGTGACTGTGTTATCCTTGTGCTTTTAGATTTAACTGCTGCATTTGACACAGTGGATCATGAAATATTGATCTCACGTTTGAAGCAGTGGGTGGGCATCAGGGGCATAGCACTGGAGTGGTTCAGGTCGTACTTGGCTGATCGAACTTTCTGTGTCAGCCTTGGTGACTCTGTGTCCTCCACTGCTCCTCTCTCATGTGGGGTCCCACAGGGCTCTGTGCTTGGCCCTGTTTTATTTTCTCTCTATCTACTCCCACTTGGTTCCATTCTCAGGAAACATGGCATTCCTTTTCACTGCTATGCGGATGACAGCCAGATCTATGCCCCCCTCAAAAAGTCTGATTCCTACTCTGTTGACCCACTGCAAGTGTTTACACAACCTTAAAGCTTGGATGTCTTCAAATTTTCTGAATTTTAATGAAGTAGAATAGAAGCTAGGCTTAAGCTCAGAGGGGATTGAGCGTTTGCCGTTGCGGCTCCTAAACTTTGGAATGGATTGCCGCTGCACATTAGACAGGCCACCTCTCTGTCTCATTTTAAAACTGTGAAGAAAAACACAAACTCTTCACAGGTTGCAGTGGAGGCATCGGACAGGACAGTAGGGTGTGGATTAACGACAGAATCAATAGTATTAAATAGCAGTCTTGGCTGATGAGAGCTGTTAGCTATAATGGAGGACAAATATTTGGACTTGGCTTCCTTTAGAGCTCTCTGATAGGCAGCCAAACTGTCCCTTAACCAGCCCAGGGATACATGCAGTTTATCCTTTTTCCACCGCCGTTCAGCCTGTCTGCATTGTTGTCTGAGCAGACGGGTGTGGTCATTTAACCAGGGATCTGACTTGGTTTTGGTAATTTTTTGCCGAAAAGGGGCAACAGAGTCAAGAATCGCAGAACATGTTGAATAGAAAGTGGAGAGTAGGCTGTCTGGACAAAGGGGAGGAACCAACCCACAGTCATCAAGCAGCTGAGAGTTTCTGAAGGCAGCAGCAAACTCCCCAGCCGTTGATGGAGTAAAGATGCAGCGTCTGCGAGCTGGGGAAACTGGCTTATTGGCAGGTGGGGGGGCAGCAAAGTCGAAAACAACAGGGAGGTGATCTGAGATAGCAGTGTCGACTATTTCTCTGAGGGAAACTGAAAGCCCATGAGAAATGACAAGGTCGAGAGTGTGCCCATACTCATGTGTTGGTGCATTAACAGATTGAGTGAGGTCAAAAGAAACTAGAAGACCTTTGAATTCATTGACCAGTTGATTTGCTGCACAACAAACATGAATATTAAAGTCATACTTATCAGATCGTACTCAGTTTGTACATGTTAACGATGAATCCTCCATAAATACTAAAGTTAGTCATGGAGTTCCACAAGGTTCTGTACTTGGACCAATACTATTTACTTTATATATGCTCCCTTTAGGCAACATTATTAGGAATCACTCCATTAACTTTCACTGTTATGCAGATGATACGCAGTTATATCTATCAATCAAACCCAATGAAATTAATCAATTATCTAAATTACAAACATGTCTTAAGGACATAAAATCCTGGATGACCTGCAATTTTCTGATGTTAAACTCAGAAAAAACCGAAATTCTTGTTCTTGGCCCCAAAAACCTTAGAGACTCATTGTCTAAAGATATAGTCACTCTAGATGGCATTAACTTGGCCTCTAGCACCACTGTCAGGAATCTTGGAGTTATCTTTGATCAGGATTTGTCATTTAACTCCCACATAAAGCAGACCTCTAGGACTGCCTTCTTTCATTTACGTAATATTAGAAAAATTAGACACATACTATCACAGACAGATGCAGAAAAACTAATCCATGCATTTGTTACTTCAAGGCTGGATTACTGCAACTCTTTATTATCAGGTTGCCCCAATAAGTCCATTAAAACGCTCCAATTAATTCAGAACGCTGCAGCACAAGTACTGACAGGAACTAGAAAAAGAGATCACATCTCTCCTGTACTAGCTACTCTGCATTGGCTCCCTATAAAATGTAGAATTGAATTTAAAATACTCCTCCTCACCTATAAAGCTCTTCATGGTCAGGCCCCTTCATATCTTAAAGAGCTCATAGTACCCTATTACCCCACTAGAACACTACGTTCTCTGAATGCTGGGCTACTTGTGGTTCCTATAGTCTCTAAAAGTAGAACAGGAGCCAGAGCCTTCAGTTACCAAGCTCCTCTCCTGTGGAACCAGCTTCCAGTTGTGGTTCGGGAGGCAGACACCCTCACCACTTTCAAGAGTAGGCTTAAGACATTCCTCTTTGATAAAGCTTATAGTTAGGGCTGGATCAGGTGAGTCCTGAACCATCCCTTAGTTATGCTGCTATAGGCCTAGACTATCGGGGGATTTCCCATGGTGCACTGAGCTACTCTCTTCCTCTCTCTTTCTGCACTCATTCATGTCCCTTTAATGCATGTTACTAACTCCACTTCTTCCCCGGAGTTCTTGTGCTTTCTCGTCTCGCAGGTTCTCATGGATCCTGGTGGAGCCTCCTGCCATGGTCCTGCTTGACTGCCATTGCCAATACTGTTGTTGCTGTGCACCTGTCTGTCTGTTTTCTCTCTCTCTCTCTCTCTCTCTCTCTCTCTCTCTCTCACCCCAACTGGTCGAGACAGACGACCACCCACCTAGAGCCGGAGGATCTGTCCTAGGTTTCTGCCTTTTAACAGGCAGTTTTTCCTTGCCCTTGTCGCCAAGTGCTTGCTCATGGTGGTACTGTTGGGTCTCTGTAATTAATGTTAAAGAGTTCGGTCTAGACCTGCTCTATTTGAAAAGTGTCCTGAGATAACTTCTGTTATGAATTGGCGCTATACAAATAAAATTGAATTGAATTGAATTGAATTGAATTAAAGTCTCCATAAATCAACAGTTTATCAAACTTTGGGATAAACTCAGACAAAAACTCATAGAACTCTTGAAGAAAGTCCTTATTAAATCTGGGTGGGCGATAAACTGTGGCACACAGCACAGGGCAGGTAAAGTCGATCACGAACAGCTGCAGTTCGAAGCTGGAGTAATTATTAGCGGTTATCATCCGGCATCTGAAGCTCTCCTTAAATATAGCAGCCAGACCGCCCCCACGACCGGTGTGTCGGTTTAACTGGAGTTGAATTAACTGGTGATACTGAGGCAGATGTGTGTAGGCGTGGCTTTTTAGGACCCCTTATTGCCGAACCAGGAAATAAAGATTCTGACTACTTCTATGACATTCATTTGTTGGTGACTTTTAAAACACTGCAATAGAAACTCTTTACTGGAACAATAATGTTGGTGTCTGCTCCTCACTACGGAACTATTATTCACTGTCATGGTGACATTAACAGCTGCTGATCGCTACCGTTGTTTCAGTTCTGAGTCCTCCCCGAGTATAACGTTACATCGAAGAAAGACTTCTTTGGATATCGTATATTGTAATCATACAATGGCTTTACAATACATCTTAGAAACACTAACTATTTTAAATAATTTAAACACACCAAAATGTAATTGTTTGTAAAGGCAACCACACGCTCGCACTATTGTAAAACCACATTAACGGAGTAGCTCGAGTTTGGATTAACCTGTGATATTATCCTGAGTGAGACTGGTTGAGACGATGAGCTCAATGCTCGTAGTTTCTCTTGTAAAAAAAAAAAAAACCTTCACAAAAACGTCTCTATAATGAATATTTATGTATTCCTCAGGAACCAGCAGGTTCTCAAATCTGTAAGAGTATAAAGTGAGGACTATAGGGAATGGCAATGTATGTGACATAACACTGATAACGTCAATAAAACGTCCAAAATCCTCATGTTACCGGTCTAGTGTCATAGTTGTTTTTAATGTGTGCAATTATATCCAGCCTATAAGTTAATCAGTCCGAGTTCACGCTCCAAGCAGTGTGGAGAACTTTGTAGCTGTGGCAGAGTGCACATTCATGCTACACTATTTACCGTCCATCGAGTTTAATATTAAAATCTAGACGTTTCGCTCACTCATCCCAATAGTCTACAAAATTCAGTTTAGTCTACATGTGCTGCACGTCACAACTCTGGATTTGAAAATAAAGTCATAATTATAAAATTGGTAAATACTGCACAATAAGACCTAAATGCATGTAAAACTGATTAAACAGAGTTATCGTTTGAGCAATAGCTTCACACACACATTTTAAAATTACTGGAGTTATTGTCAATAATTTAAACCCACCAAAATCAAATCCTTAGGCTACTTAAGTAACATACCAGCTCTGGTGTAGAAAACAAATGTACCCACATGTGATCATGGTGGACAAACTCAAGTTCAATATACAATGCAAGTCTTACATAGCAGCTAAATTGACCAATTTGTAACTGAAGGAAAGAAATGATTTGTAAGTAAGAGTTTGCTGACATGTACAGAATATCATTGTGATTAGTGAAATAAAAGTCTGTAGACTTTAAAAGGAAATAAGATCAATGAAAACAGCTGTTGTATCACAAGTTAATCTGGTCATATCATGCTTTGTCACAGCTAACTTCAAGATGGGTTTACATATTTACAGTCTTTATGAAAGTATAAACTGTTCTGAAAAGATTTTGACGTCAGTATAATATCAATGTATGAAGACAACAAAAACATTTTGTAAAGGATTTATTGGCATGACATGTACCTTATGTTAATGATTTAATTTTGGTGGGTCTAAATGCAAGTTAGAAATTAAGATAAGATAAGATATAAGATATTCCTTTATTTGTCCCACAATGGGGAAATTCCAATTCCAAATTACAGACATTATTTCTAAAATATGTTGTAAAGGTTTATGGTTACCATATATAATGACACAATTTAATCACATTTGACATGCTTTCAGGTTTTACTATTGTGCAGCATTTACAAATGTGACTGTGACAAGATTATCGCTTGATGATCCCTGTCCAAATTTACTCAAAAACCTAAAAAGAATTGACATGTGAATGAAACTCATACAGACTACCACCCCAACCCCCATACATGCACCTGTGCGTAGTTAACCAAACCTATACCATTCTGTTCTGATCTTAGTTTGTACAGCTGGGCATCCAACTTCTGCCCCTATTGCAAAATAGGTAACAATATCTAATTTGGTTGAAAGACTTTGCTGACATGTATAGAATATAAATAAAAGATAAAGTCTGTAAACCTTATTATGAAACGTGATCAATGGTAGACAGATTGCATCACAAGTTAATCTGCTCATAATGCTTTGTCACAACTCTACTTCAAGATGGTATTAAACATATACTGCCTGTTTCAATGTATAATACCACAATTCTATCACATCTTATAATCTCTGTCCCATTTATTCAAAATCCCATGTGAATCGGATTTGTATATCGTAGACCCTCTACTGATTAAAGTTTTAATATTATCCAATTTATCTTCCTATTGCAAAATGAGATTTGACAGTTGTCTAATTTGGATAAAAGAGTGTGCTGTTATGTATATAATATCATTGTGATTGGTGAGATAAAAGTGTAGACGCGACATGATCGATGGTAAAATGTTGTAGGCTATCACCAGTTGATCTGGGCTATCACGCTTTGCCACAGCTGACTCCACACTGCGTTAAACATATACTGCAGACTGTATGTTTCCTTACACACTGTGTGACAGTATAAACTCTTCTCAAATAGACCTGACATCAGATTAATAAGGATTCGTAAAACGACAGAAAGAACATTTTTTTAATTATTTATTGACATTTGCAGTGTTTGGAACAGGCATCGACACAGTCACCTACTGTGTCATTCTCTTCAAGCGTCCGGAGATCGCCGTCACAAATAAAATGAATTCAAACTCCAGGTACCTCCGTTAATCTTATTAGACATCAGAACTGGAGTGTTTACAATGTTAAGGATCTCATTCTGGTTGGTTAAAATTATGAAAAGAAGTCAACTCAGTCAGTATTTCTAGTGTACAGATCTGCATCAATGCTCGGGAATATCACCAGTTAATTCAACCACCAGTTAAACCGACACACCGGCAGCTCGCGGGGTGCTGCCGGAAGGAACAGCCGGGAGGGAGGAGGTCCAAAAAGGCGCTGTTCTCACCTGGTTTCAACCAGGTCTCTGTCAACAGGAGGAAATCCAGATCATGTGTTGTAAAAAATTCATTTAAAATAAATGTCTTATTTGTAAGAGGGTATGGTATTTATCAGGGCCGTGTGAACTGAGCATCGGTCAGTCTGGCAAGAGAAGCGACTGAGTGAGCGAAGATTTCCCGGCACACAGCCCCGCTGGGAGATCCGCACTGGCCGACAACACGGGAGCAGCACCCCGGTGTGTCCCGAAGAACCGGCCGGAGCCACCGATATCTGTACTCCGTGGAACTCCGCAAATCGTAGCCACTGTAGTCTGTGAAGGATCCAGCTGGTAGACGACAGGGATCGTGGAGGGAGGAAGCCAGAGACATTTTCAGTTTAATGAGGACTCCCCCTCGCTTCCCGCGTTTTCTGCGACGACTGTTACGAGGTAACCAGCAGGAAAGACGCCGTAGATGTAGCGGTATAGACTCCAGGAAAGGCGGAAGCGTCTTTGAGTGTCCAGCAAAGCCGCAAATTGGCAGTTTTTCCAGAGAATCACGAATATTAAGAAGTGTCAGGCGATCATACACCTGCAGTGGTGACACACTCCGTACAACAAACAGCAGATACAAGAAAAACAGTAGCACTCTCAGCAGAAGGAGACGGCCAGCCAAACACAGGGGGCGCCATCTTTTCCATCACAGTCAGTAAATGTCCTGTGTGTGTATCTGCTGCCATTAGATAGACATTGTGTTGGTAACCTCAGACTGTTTCAACAACACATCACTACAGTTAGCTGCAACAAGGAACCACCAGAGACACTGCTTTATTATTTTACATTATAACTGAGGACTACTGTGAGCCACAATGAGCTGTTGTACTATATTATATTATACTATATATTATATTATACTGTATATTATATTACACTGTATATTATATTATACTGTATTATATTATACTGTATTATATTACTCTGTATATTATTATACTGTATTATATTATACTGTAGATTATATTATACTGTATCATATTATACTGTATTATATTATATTATACTGTATTATATTATACTGTAGATTATATTATACTGTATCATATTATACTGTATTATATTATATTATACTGTATTATATTATACTGTATATTATATTATACTGTATATTATATTACACTGTATATTATATTATACTGTATATTATATTACACTGTATATTATATTATACTGTATTATATTGTACTGTATATTATATTATACTGTATTATACTGTATTATATTATACTGTATATATTATACTGTATATTATATTACACTTTATTATATTATACTGTATTATATTGTACTGTATATTATATTATACTGTATGATATTACACTGTATATTATATGCTGTCTTACAAGTAACACTGAATCCTCCATGTTTTACAGGTGACCTGATGAAGCTCAGGTGTTCCTGGACCCATCAGAGGACAGAGACAGCTGCAGCATCAGGACAGTCTGGGTATCCAAAGGAAGACTGATGAAGATGAACACTGACTGCAGAGCTCCATTACCAGCTCACACTTCAATATACTAGAAACCATAAACCTTGATGGAGGACATGATCTGCACAGTTTACATAAAAGTTCTAGCTTTGTTACTTACAACATATGTAACTGGAATATGAATGAAATATAAATAAAGTGTTTTACTTTTAAGAAGAGTTTTTGTCATTTTTAAATTCAGTAATAAGTGTGGTTTTATATAAATAACATGTTATTTCACAGAGGTTTTATGAAGATTTTGAAAGAGTTGAAAATCTGGTCATCTATCAATATGAACATGTGGAATTTAAACCTGTATTAATGACTGTAAGCAACACAACACATTACTGTCTCACATTCAAACTTTATTATGTTGGAAGATAAATTACATCACAATATAAAATATAAATGATAGAATATTCAGTATACAGTATTTTTATATATCTGAAGGTTAACTTTGGTAATAATACTTTATTTTTGATAGCGGAAGTAGCAACATTGGCCGTCACTATGGAGATGAGATGACAGTCCGCTATGCTTCACGCGAGCAGAGCAGTTGGCGCGCTGGTCTCCTGTTTTATTTAAATTATTAAATATATAAATATAAAATATAAAAAATAAATATTGGCAGGTATTACATTATTGGCAGGTATTACATTATTGGCCATTATTACATTATCGGTTGCTACAAACCCTATCGAGCAATCCAACCTTTTTAATTGTGCCAATATTTTTTTCCTCATTATAGGGTGATTTAGTCCATTTACATTGAAACTAACGCATTTCAGAGTGGTCATATTCTACTATGTGGAAAGAAGAAAGAAAAAGATAACATAATTCACCATTTCCCTCTCTCTTAACTGTCTTGGTACATTTACAACCAAAAATAATTCTCAGAGTCACCTTGCCGTAAAACAGAGAACCAGCCGGTAACTTGGTAGAACTTCCAATGAGACCGTGGGTTAACCTCATTAAAGAGGCATATGGTTAACAGTCCATGTATAACCCACCCCTGATGTAAACCTAGTCTGGGCAGGGAGACTAGACTCCCTGGGAGGGGTACACAAAGTGTGTGAGCAGCAGTCCGCGCAATGTCCAAACTCTGCTGCATTGAATGCCCAAATCAGTCTTTAATAAATAAGAACTAAAAAATAAAATAGGGGAAAAAGGAGAAAATGAAAACAGAAAAGGTGAAATAAGATTTGAAAAACAAAGGGAAAACCCCTACGTATCTTCTTGCCCGAACTCTTGATTTTGATTTTGTTAAGCCTGTAAACATTTAGAGTTTAATATGCTTTTACTACACTCACATTACCTTGTCCATTTAATCTTTTATGCAACGGGAGAAAATAAAAGATCTAAATCAGCGTCAGTCCCTCTTTCCCCTGTCTGCCTTGGATCAGTCGTCTGTTGTGTAGTAGCTCTCTCTCTAAGATGTCCCACTCATCCACATCTACTTCCATTCCTGGTTCCTGCGGAGTTAGTCGGGTCTCAGTTGTTTCCGTGATGATCTGCACTGTTCATGATGGTCCTGATTTCCTTGGGAGTCAGCATCAGCCCCTTCTTCCCCTGTCTATCCTGGGTCAGCCATCTGTCCTGTAGTAGCTCTCTCTCCAGGAGGTCCCATTCATCCACGTCTACTTCCAATCCTAGCTCCTGCAGAGTTGGTGAGCTTCATAAAGAGAGGGAAAGGTTTTGACCCTGGTGTCCAAAAATACCCTTAACTGTGCCGGGTAAGGTGCTTGAGCTCTAATGTTGCGTTCCCTGAGCCTTTTAATGACTTCACGCACTTGCTTTCTCTTTCTCAGGACATCCGGGGAGTAGTCTTGGTCAAAATAAACTTTCCCTGAAACTCCATGACTCGCTGGGTCCAGGCTTGTTGGAGCACCGTTTGTTTAACTTTAAAGTTGTGAGTGGGATATGGTTGGGTTTCAGGCTATTTTAAACTGTAATCGGGCAGCGCGTTCTGTTTAGGCGTCTGACTTGGGCATGGCCGGAACCGGAAGTCTCAAGTGGCGCTATTTCATCATCACTTATTATAATCCACCGTCTCACTTCACTCACAGTGATAAGACAGTAAGAGAGTTTCCCACTTTAACTCCCTCGAAGCATAGGCAGACACAAGTGGCTTTCTTTCTACGGGTTTATTTGAAGCTTGTCTCTTTCTCTCCAAATCCACCGTGAAAACTAAATAACGTCGACAAAATATAAACAACGTTAGCTTAGCATAAACAATAACATGCACAGCATGTGGAATAAAATTTACAAAGTAAAACAGATAAATAAAATACCTCGTTGGCTGCATGCTACAAAAGAGGGAATTGTCTTCAAATCTTCAATATATAGTCCTTTGTGACGAGGATGAAACTTGAAACAGCGTAAAGTCCTTCATAACTGTTTAATTGCTTGTGCCGATGCTGTCAGTCAGACACGCGAGAGTAGCCGACGAGACTTACTAGGACTTCAAAATAAAAGCACCTTTTTAGTCATACTAAATGAAATAATATAAAACAAATGCAACTTAAATGAATTCTAATTAAGACATTGATCTTCAAAAAGAAACAATAAATGCAACAATTACACCCACTATGCTGAACTATTTCTTCATGTGAGGGATCTGATTATCTTCCACCTCTACCTGTAAGTGAGGCTTTTCTCCAGCAGGTGGTGCTGCTGTATGCTGAGATAGACTCTGTGTCCAGCCTGAGCCGTCAAGCAGGATGAGAGTTTTTAAAGAAATCTTAATTTTAATTTATTTATTATATGATTAGTTTTTAACAGAAACAAGAGGAAGGAACAACCATTCTGGTTGTGAGTGTGCTGTGACAGTGGAAACACAGTGAACATATAGACAGCTTCTTCAACATCAGACTTTACTACAATACAAAGGTTTTAATAGCTGCACAATGTATGTTTCCAGATGACCTCTGCTGTAATGCAACAGCTCAATGCAAACCCTACCGTCCACTTTATAGAGTCTGGAAGAAAACTTCCACACATCCAGGTTCACTGCTGAATAACATATAGTGAGACTACTCAGCTGGAGTCAGCCAGCAACAAAGGCCAGTAAAAGTAAAATAAAGTGAGTCTCTGACGGACCTCTGACTGGCTCTAACTGACCTCTGACGGACTCTAACTGACCCCTACAGTGTTTTTGTTTTGTCAGGTGATGACCTCAGCAGGCGAGCTAACTTGGAGGACAGGTGAGTTACAGCCAGGTGAAACAAACACAGAGAATTTAATATCAGCCCACTGTCTCCATCTAGTGGACAACATAAGGTACTGCAACTGTTACTGCAGTCTGTGTGTGAGCGAATGGGCTCACTGAAAATACAGTACTACAGTGTGTACCACTGTATATTACTGCAGTATTACTATAGTTCTACTGCTGTCAGTACTGCAGAGAGACAGATCAGTGGGTGAGGAGAGACAGACAGAGAGAGAGACAGATCAGTGAGGGGAAGAGAGACAGACAGACAGAGGGAGGAGATAATGAGCAGTGGAGGAGTGTCTGTTAGAGTCTGTTAGAGTGTTCAGTCTGCACACAGCCGCTCTCTCTCAGTCTCAGTCTCTGTCTCACTCTCTCTTTCAGTCTGTTTACCTCGCCTGTCTCTCTCTCTGTCAGGATGGACCTGTTTTGTTATGGATTATTGATTATTGTGTTTCTGCTGCAGATCGACTGTTTACACTCAGTTTACATTACTGACAACACAGGTGAGACAAACTGACACTATACTGCTACTATTACTACTACAACAACTACTACTGCTACAGCTACTACTGTATGGTACTACTAATACTACTACTGTATACTGCTACTACTGTATACTACTAATACTACTACTGTATACTGCTACTACTGTATACTACTAATACTACTACTGTATACTGCTACTACTGTATACTACTAATACTACTACTGTATACTGCTACTACTGTATACTACTAATACTACTACTGTATACTGCTACTACTGTATACTACTAATACTACTACTAATACTACTACTGTATACTGCTACTACTGTATACTACTACTACTACTACTACTAATACTACTACTGTATACTGCTACTACTGTATACTACTAATACTACTACTGTATACTGCTACTACTGTATGTACTACACTACTACTACTAATACTACTACTGTATACTGCTACTACTGTATGCTACTACTACTACTACTACTAATACTACTACTGTATCGCTACTACTGTATGGTCTACTACTCCTGTCGCTACTACTGTACTACTAATACTACTACTGTATACTGCTACTACTGTATACTACTACTACTACTACTACTAATACTACTACTGTATACTGCTACTACTGTATACTACTACTACTACTACTACTAATACTACTACTGTATACTGCTACTACTGTATACTACTACTACTACTACTAATACTACTACTGTATACTACTACTACTACTACTAATACTACTACTGTATACTACTACTACTACTACTAATACTACTACTGTATACTGCTACTACTGTATACTACTAATACTAATACTAAAACTGTATACTGCTACTACAACTACTACTATTGTATACTGCTACTACTGTATACTACTACTACTGTATGGTACTACTAATACTACTAATAATACTACTACTGTATACTGCTACTACTGTATACTACTAATACTAATACTACTACTACAACTACTACTACTGCTACTGTATACTGCTACCACTACAGCTACTACTACTACAACTACTACTACTGTATACTGCTACTATTAGTACTACTACTGCTACTGTATACTACTACTGTATACTGCTACTACAACTACTACTACTGTATGGTACTACTACTACTGCTACTGTATACTGCTACCACTACTAATACTACTACTGTATACTGCTACTAATACTACTACTTCTGTATACTACTACTTCTACTGCTACCGTTAATACTTCTACTGCTACTGCTACCATCAATACTTCTACTGCTACCGTCAAGCAGTCAATACTTCTACTGCTACCGTTAATACTTCTACTGCTACCGTTAATACTTCTACTGCTACTGCTACCATCAATACTTCTACTGCTACCGTCAAGCAGTCAATACTTCTACTGCTACCGTTAATACTTCTACTGCTACCGTTAATACTTCTACTGCTACCGTTAATACTTCTACTGCTACTGCTACCATCAATACTTCTACTGCTACCGTCAACCAGTCAATACTTCTACTGCTACCGTTAATACTTCTACTGCTACCGGTAATACTTCTACTGCTACCGTCAATACTTCTACTGCTACCGGTAATACTTCTACTGCTACCGTTAATACTTCTACTGCTACTGCTACCATCAATACTTCTACTGCTACTGTCAATACTTCTACTGCTACCATTAATACTTCTACTGCTACTGCTACCATCAATACTTCTACTGCTACGTCAATACTTCTAATGCTACCGTCAATACTTCTAATGCTACCGTCAATACTTCTACTGCTACTGTCAATATTTCTACTGCTACCGTTAATACTTCTACTGCTACCGTTAATATTTCTACTGCTACCGTCAATATTTCTGCTGCTACCATTAATACTTCTACTGCTACTCTTAATACTTCTACTGCTACCGTCAATACTTCTACTGCTACCGTCAATACTTCTACTGCTACCATTAATACTTCTACTGCTACTCCTAATACTTCTAATTGGCAGTACTAGTTCTCCTCCAGTTTGTTATTCTTCTGTGGTTGTGTGGTCCTCCAGGCTGTGACCTCTGACCTCTGCAGTGAAGGTTCATAAACAACTTGACCAATCAGTGAGCAGCTGACAGTCTCCCAGTGTTTCCAGTGTTGCCAGTAGTGTTCTTGTGGTTCCAGCAGCAGCAGATGGAAACGTTCCTCTTTTCTGATTCTGAGTCAGAAAACTTTCCTCGCCACGTTTTTCCCATAAATCTTTGTGTTTATGCGTCTCTGGCGTTTGGGGAATGTGAACCATTCAGATCATATTTCATCATATCCTGAGTGTGTGTGTGTGTGTGTGTGTGTGTGCATGAACAGTATTTCAGATGATTTAACAAGGAAAAAGGCGGCTCTCCTTCTGTCTGAGGTTAGAGAGGTCAGAGGTCACACACTGTCTGTGGTTTCTGCTGATCTGAGATCAGCCTCAGCTGCTTTTAACCCTAACCCTAACCCTATGTTTCTCAAGTTTTCAGATTTTACACTTTAAACGTGGCGTATTTATGAATCACTCTCACCAGACTGCATTCACAAGTTTAGTGAGTTAAGAGAGTTTAAAGTGAATCCAGATCTTTGAGATTATGTTCCAGTTCAAAATCCATTTGACATTTGTAACAACTGTAATAAGTAAAGATCCTCGCTTATGTCTGTGACCTGATTGTATTTGGGCTTTAAGCCCTGTAGGGACTTTTGTCGGTTTATTGTGGTCCGAGCAGCGACCACTGCAAGGCCCTGTAGTAATGCAAGGAATTATTATTTTTTAAATGTAGCCCCCAAGGCATGTTTCACCAATATGTTTGAAAGTTGGTACACACATCCAGGCGTACAAAAATGCCTCTGGGACCCATACCGAAAACCCAAAAGGCAGTTAGCCATTTTGGATTTAGTGGTACTGTTTGGCAATTTGCATGTGTTGTACTTTAACAAACTCCTTGTAGATTTATAGGTTTGTGTTTGGGTATCACTTATCATTAATGGTCTGTTACCTATATTTACGTATTTCCTGTAAAACCTGGCAGCTAGGGAGGGACTTGGTGAGGTATAGCGCCGTCTGTCACTCACAGCTCCCACTGAACAGCACGGCCATTAAGAACAATAATGATATTAATAATATTAACTTTATTTCATAATTTTTTCGTGAAATTCAATAATTTGACACTAATTGCAAAGAGAGTTAATAAAAGATCTGATTGACTCCATTTGACAACAATATTTAAATGGTAAATGGACTGTACTTATATAAATGGTAATAGTAAATGGATCTGTACTTGTGTAGCGCCTTTCTAGTCTTTCGACCACTCAGTGTGCCGTGCACTACAGCCACATTCACACACATTCACACACATTTACACATTGATGGCTGCCATGCAAGGTGCAAACTGCTCACCCGAACGGAAACTAAGCATTCACACACACTCACAAAGCGACGTGTCTTGCTCAAGAACACTTTGACATGCAGCGAGAGGAGCCAGGAGCCTTTGGATTCCAAAGCTTACCTACTATACGCAGTAGGCCTGTATCTCATCATCCTGCAGTAGAAAAGTATCCAGTTAAAACAACCAAAGAGCTAATTGAACAAGGTTCAGAGAGAATAAAACACTACACACAGCCTATTAAGTATGTATAATTGTTACAAAAATAAATACATATATAATACAGATAGACAATCTGATAAACAGTTCCCAAAAATATCAGGAAAACTCATTTCAATTTGCAATATTTATAGGAAATAATCTGCTCAAAATTCATCCAAATTACAAATTTTGTGTAGTTATTGTGTTCACTAGTTCTTAGCCACTAACCAGTTGTTATATACCATTATTGTTATGCATTGAATATAATATGAAATATCCATAAAATATATAATTTAGTCAGGGGTCACCAGTTTACTTAATGATAGAAAAGGGGTCCCTTAAAGCAAAAGGTTGGGAACCACTGCTGTAGATACTGGGAATAGGTCAGTGCTGTAGATACAGGGCATTGATCAGTGCTGTTGATACAGGACTTCGACCAATGCTGTAGATACCGGGCATAGGTCAGTGCTGTAGATAGAGGGGAGAGGTCATTTGGTTCGTATAATCGTAAATAGTAAAGTTCAGTGGAAGCCACTTATACACATTAAAATCTCAAATACTATACATGCTAAAGTCATCAAATCTGGTACACAGGTGACCTTTGGAGATGTGTTAAATGTATTAAAACACATCTTCAATAGGACCACCATGTGGTTAATTATTAAGGCGTTTCAAATTTCAGAACTTAACAAAATTAAATACATTACCCTTACGTCCTACAGAGTACATCCACTGAATTGTCCGTCACTCCATATTTTCCAAAATATGCTAAATCAACCAATTTTTGTATATATATATTTTTAATGTTTTTATTCAAATGCTATACAAATCCACACACACATTCAGGTATCAGGTTTCAAACCAGCAGCAACACACCCTGAAAGTTTAATTCAATATGAAACGTAATTTCTATCCAAGATACTTACCACTTACCTTACAGTGACATCACAATAACATCACGCTGACATCATTGACAAAAGAGGTCTCACAGGATATTTTTATTCTTTCTCAGATTCTCTCCATCAGGTTCTGTCAGAGTTCAGTGTCGTTCGTCCAATCAGGACCAACCCAGAGGGGCTCTTCCTGTTAGCCTCTGTCTCCGCCCACCACCAACCCCGGATTAAAACACACTCTGCAGAGGACACGCCCACCGACACAAGAAGAAACAAAAGACAGGCTCCCACAGACTCATCACACCAGGCCCCGCCCATAGAAACGTCACCGCCCAGCTGGAGGGGGCGGGGTTACGCAGCTGAGGAGGCGGAGCTTTTCTACAATGTGACAGTGTTCGGTCAGGAGCTCCACCTGCGGCTGCGTCCGAACTCTCGTCTCGTTGCCCCCACCGCCACCATGGAGTGGTGGGAGGAGTCAGGACACAAACACTCTCAGCCAATAGGAGACACAGGCTGCCTCTACACAGGAGAGGTGTCCAACATGGAGGACACGGCGGTTGCCATCAGCAACTGTGACGGTCTGGTAGGTGTCGCTGTTGAGGTGTTATTCCTGTGTGTTTGGGGTCCTGAGCGATACGGGAGAATCACTAATACTGTATATAAGAGACCAGACTCACATTCAACTGCCCACAGTTACGATCCTGTAGCTAATGTAACTGTGAACGATACACCTTATAGGTTAGCCGGCCAGTCAACACGACTGGTTGACGTAGTAAAATACGGTCAGCTAGCTTCATCCAGCTTTTACCTCGACAACATTATTCAGCGTCTCTTAACGGATTTATGAAACCAAACAATCAGAACACGTATTTTAGGAAGCACAAAAATCATTTAAGACACCAGTTTCTTCATCATCCTCTGTGAGGAAGATGCTGATGGAGGCAGATGTTGGTTTGTTTTCAGCCTCCTGACTTTCCGTAGCTCTGACCTGAGAGCAGCTGGAAGCACAGAGAGTTTAACAGTGAGCTCAGTCCTTGTTACCGCAAAACATGTCATTTTAACTTTTGACTTTTTATATAAATATATTTCTATATTAATAAAATATAGATGTTCAGTGTAAACGTTGAGTTAAAGTCAGCAGAGGACCAGAGGAGAAACAAATCGAGTTCTGTGAGACAGAAATGATTTCAGGCTGCAGACTCAAACCGAACACTGTAAAACATGAAGAGCTGAAGCTGCTGCCACCGTCCGACTGCTGCCCGACTGCTGCCTGACCGCTGCCTGCCTGACTGCAACTGACTGCGACTGACTGCTGCCTGACTATTACTGACTGCTGCCTGACTGCGACTGACTGCTGCCTGCCTGACCGCTGCCTGACTGTTACTGACTGCTGCCTGACAGCAACTGACTGCTGGCTGCCTACTGCTGCCTGCCTGACCGCTGCCTGCCTGACTGCAACTGACTGCGACTGACTGCTGCCTGACTGTTACTGACTGCTGCCTGCCTGACCGCTGCCTGACTGTTACTGACTGCTGCCTGACAGCAACTGACTGCTGGCTGCCTACTGCTGCCTGCCTGACCGCTGCCTGACTGCGACTGACTGCTGCCTGCCTGACTGCTGCCTGACTGTTACTGACTGCTGCCTGCCTGACCGCTGCCTGCCTATTACTGACTGCTGCCTGACTGCGACTGACTGCTGCCTGCCTGACCACTGCCTGACTGTTACTGACTGCAACTGACTGCTGCCTGCCTGACCGCTGCCTGACTGTTACTGACCGCTGCCTGACTGTTACTGACTGCTGCCTGCCTGACCGCTGCCTGCCTGTTACTGACTGCTGCCTGACTGCGACTGACTGCTGCCTGCCTGACCGCTGCCTGACTGTTACTGACCGCTGCCTGACTGTTACTGACTGCTGCCTGCCTGACCGCTGCCTGCCTGTTACTGACTGCTGCCTGACTGCGACTGACTGCTGCCTGCCTGACTGCTGCCTGCCTGACTGTTACTGACTGCGACTCACTGCTGTCTGCCTGACCGCTGCCTGACTGTTACTGACTGCTGTCTGCCTGACCGCTGCCTGACTGTTACTGACTGCTGCCTGCCTGACCGCTGCCTGACTGTTACTGACTGCGACTGACTGCTGTCTGCCTGACTGCTGCCTGACTGTTACTGACTGCTGCCTGCCTGACCGCTGCCTGCCTGTTACTGACTGCTGCCTGACTGCTGCCTGCCTGACCGCTGCCTGACTGTTACTGACTGCGACTGACTGCTGCCTGCCTGACCGCTGCCTGACTGTTACTGACTGCTGTCTGCCTGACCGCTGCCTGACTGTTACTGACTGCTGCCTGCCTGACCGCTGCCTGACTGTTACTGACTGCTGCCTGACTGCAACTGACTGCTGCCTGCCTGACCGCTGCCTGACTGTTACTGACTGCGACTGACTGCTGTCTGCCTGACCGATGCCTGACTGTTACTGACTGCTGTCTGCCTGACCGCTGCCTGACTGTTACTGACTGCTGCCTGCCTGACCGCTGCCTGCCTGTTACTGACTGCGACTGACTGCTGCCTGCCTGACCGCTGCCTGACTGTTACTGACTGCGACTGACTGCTGCCTGCCTGACCGCTGCCTGACTGTTACTGACTGCTGCCTGCCTGACCGCTGCTTGACTGTTACTGACTGCTGCCTGACTACGACTGACTGCTGCCTGCCTGACCGCTGCCTGCCTGACCGCTGCCTGACTGTTACTGACTGCTGCCTGACTGTGACTGACTGTAGCTTCACTTCTTACAGCGCACGCTGATTGAAGCCAGATGTGAAGAAAGATGAGAGGCGTTTAAAGACAGAAAGAACAGGAGGAAAGGGAGCAGGGGGAAAGAAAGGAGGAATATTTTCCTGCTGCTGTAACTTAAAGCAACAGCAACACATTTTATCTGCAGGTGGACAAAATAACAGGAACACATGAACACAACAAATACATCAGTCAGTTTGATTCAGAAACTGCTGATTCCACCAACCAATGAAACCAATGAAAACACACCAATCTATATTATATTAATTATTGTTACACGCTTTAATACATTGTCATCAACAACTTTAATAATGCTGACTCAGTCTTTAATAATGCTGACTCAGTCATTAATAATGCTGACTCAGACATTAATAATGCTGACTCAGACATTAATAATGCTGACTCAGTCTTTAATAATGCTGACTCAGACTTTAATAATGCTGACTCAAACAATAATAATGCTGACTCAGACTGTAGATTAAACAGCTCTCTGTGTCTCCAGGCCGGGATGATCCGGATGGGTCAGGAGGAGTTTTTCATCGAGCCGTTGGATCAAAGGAGGACAGGAGAAGAAGATGAAGATGAAGATGAGGAGGAAGGAGGACGGCAACACATTGTTTATCGTTCTTCAGCCATCATCAAGAAACAACTGGCTGTCAATCAAACTGCTGATGACTTCCTCCGAGGTGAGAAAACACAAACATCAATAACAACAAAACAGGAAGTGTGATGAGGTGGTGAAGCAGCGTGGGATCATGGGAGTTGTTGTCTTCACCACCATTGGCGTCATTGCAGTCAGCTTCTCCCGGTTAGGATTCCTTCAGTGTTCATGGTTCAGGAGGTTTCTACCGGGAGCCCAATGATCCACAGAGGTCTCCTCCTCTCCAACACAAACAGACCCGCTGATTAAAACCACTAAACACACTGAATAAAGCAGTTCCACCTTAAACACACTGAATAAAGCAGTTCCACCTTAAACACACTGAATAAAGCAGTTCCTCCTTAACAATCACTGCTTCTCCCACGCTGTTGGACAGACAAAGGACGTCCCGGAGGGGCTGCGAGCCGAGCTGCTGCTAACGTTAGCTCAGCTTGTTTCTCTGATAACTTAAGATCCAGACGTCCGATGACTAAAATCCTTCATCCGGTTCAAATCTAGAGTTAAAAAGCACCAAGATCTAAACAGTGGATGGTAAACAGTCAGTGTGACAGCTTCTGATTATTGATTATTGATTGAATCAACTCCATATAGAACATTGCTTTAGAGTTTATACACTGATTATAGATTATTGATTATTGATTTAATCAGTGAGATGAAAAATCATTCTTTTGACCATATTCTGGATATTCAGGTACAATTTGAAGAAACTCTGGAATGGAAACTGATTAATGTCAATCAATCACTATCAGTAGAATCATAATCAGTACTTATAGCAATTCAATTCAATTCAATTCAATTCAATTTTATTTGTATAGCGCCAATTCATAACAGAAGTTATCTCAGGACACTTTTCAAATAGAGCAGGTCTAGACCGAACTCTTTAACATTAATTACAGAGACCCAACAGTACCACCATGAGCAAGCACTTGGCGACAAGGGCAAGGAAACACTGCCTGTTAAAAGGCAGAAACCTAGGACAGATCCTCCGGCTCTAGGTGGGTGGTCGTCTGTCTCGACCAGTTGGGGTGAGAGAGAGAGAGAGAGAGAGAGAGAGAGAGAGGCAGAGAGAGAGAGAGCGAGAGACAGACAGACAGACAGGTGCACAGCAACAACAGTATTGGCAATGGCAGTCAAGCAGGACCATGGCAGGAGGCTCCACCAGGATCCATGAGAACCTGCGAGACGAGAAAGCACAAGAACTCCGGGGAAGAAGTGGAGTTAGTAACATGCATTAATGGAACATGAATGAGTGCAGAAAGAGAGAGGAAGAGCACACACACACTCTTCAGGACACACAAATCATATGATAAACAACTGTTTTTTAACAGTGTAACTCTTTCATAATATCTGCTGTGTTGTTTCTGCAGAAGGAACGAATCAAACTGAAAACACAGAAATTGTTCCAGGAAACTTGGCAGCTTCACACACACACACACACACACACACACACATAGCCAGCTGCAACGTGGCAGTCCGAGGTTCAGAGTCTCTGAGGTTTTGGAGGTTTTGGAGGTTTTGGACTCAGAGTTGACAGATAGTTCAGCTTCTGAAATCTGTTTGTCTTCAAAGCCGCGTCAGCCAATGAGGAGCGAGTTTCCTTTCACCTCAGTTAAACTTGTCCGGAGCCTCCGGCAGCACAGTGTGACCTCACAGCGTCTGTTTCTGATCACTGATGTCATTTCCTTCACAACAGATTCAACAGATGTTTCATAAAATCCTAAAATAAACAGGATTTATTTTTCAAACTCAAAACAACGAGTGGATCTCAGCAAAACAACATTTGTGTCAGTTGTTCCAGTTGTTCCTTATATAAGGGACCTACAGTCAATAAATATATATTTATATATATTTACACACATAAAAAAAGCACATATTTAACCTCAAGACGCAATGAAAGCTGCCCTTAAAACCCTTCAAAAGTACATATCTAGTCATATTGTACCTCTAACAGAAAATAGAAGAAATACGTTAATTCAATCATTCTGTCTTTTAAACACAACTTTATTATCACTGTACAAACACACAACTTTATTATCACTGTACAAACACACAACTTTATTATCACTGTACAAACACACAACTTTATTATCACTGTACAAACACACAACTTTATTATCACTGTACAAACACAACTTTATTAACACTGTACAAACACAACTTTATTAACACTGTACAAACACAACTTTATTAACACTGTACAAACACAACTTTATTAACACTGTACAAACACAACTTTATTATCACTATACAAACACACAACTTTATTATCACTGTACAAACACACAACTTTATTATCACTATACAAACACACAACTTTATTAACACTGTACAAACACACAGCTTTATTATCACTATACAAACACACAACTTTATTAACACTGTACAAACACACAACTTTATTATCACTATACAAACACACAACTTTATTAACACTGTACAAACACACAACTTTATTATTACTGTACAAACACACAACTTTATTATCACTATACAAACACACAACTTTATTAACACTGTACAAACACACAACTTTATTATTACTGTACAAACACACAACTTTATTATCACTATACAAACACACAACTTTATTAACACTGTACAGACACACAACTTCTTAACACTGTACAGACACACAACTTTATTATCACTGTACAAACACAACTTTATTAACACTGTACAAACACACAACTTTATTATCACTATACAAACACACAACTTTATTAACACTGTACAAACACACAACTTTATTATCACTATACAAACACACAACTTTATTATCACTGTACAAACACAACTTTATTAACACTGTACAAACACACAACTTTATCAGTGATTTTGATGAAACTGGATCATATTTCATAGAGAGATTATTCACTGGTTTTTCCTCTGACGTCTTTTGGCTGATCTGTCTCAACTTCGCTAACTAATGTAGCTGCCGTTAGCTAACTGCTAATGTAGCTGCTGTTAGCTAACTGCTCATGTAGCTGCCATTAGTGGTCTACGGAACCGGGCTAAGCAGCCTCCCAGTGAACACAGTCAGACAGGGACCAGTTTTGATATGTACATAATGAATGCATGCAGCCATGAGCAATAAATCCCAGGTTGCTGTTGTTGGGATGATAATCTTGCTGTGGGTTCCACTTTGTAAATAAAGTTGTTTGGGGTTTTCTTACATTTCAGCAGTTGTTGGATGTGAAACTTGAGACCAGCAGAGTTGCTGTCGTTGAAAGCATCATTACACAGTGAGCCATAATCACATCAGAGCAACAGAAACTGTACTTGTGGTACATGTTTGTATTAGTCAGCAGTACACTGACCTGCATGTTTAATCTCAATAAAAACATCTTGAACATCAGACGTCGGCTCTGGTCTATGTCACAGTAAACACTCCCTCCTGCAGGGTTAATGTTTGCTCTCACAGGACGGGAGGTTTCTCAGTCGGGCTGTAGTGGTAAGACGAGGAGTAAACACTGTCTTACTCTATCACAGCATATAGCGGTTGACACAGATGGAAAGATCCCCATTCTCTATCTTAAAAACAATCTTAAATCCTATAATCTGTATTATTATAGAAAGTAGTTTATTTCAATTAAAGTTGCATCAACAGGCAGTTTTTCCTTGCCCTTGTCGCCAAGGTCTTGCTCATGGTGGTACTGTTGGGTCTCTGTAATTAATGTTTTAAAGAGTTCGGTCTAGACCTGCTCTATTTGAAAAGTGTCCTGAGATAACTTCTGTTATGAATTGGCGCTATACAAATAAAATTGAATTGAATTGAATTGAATCGCAGAGAGTCACTTGAGAGTCACCGATGTAAAACAACAAGAATACACCTGTGTGTGTAAAAATGACTTACTAAGATTTTTCTTTTACTGGTCTGCAGGTCCTCTTTTAGGTTCTCTAAACCTGATCCAGAATGTGTTGTGGTCAAGATCTGGCTCAGCTCGACGACGGCGCTACATTGAAGAGGCTGAACTATTTAACATCGAGGTTAATTAACTATTTAAGACAGAGGTCGATGAAGTGTTGTTGACGTTGATGAAGTATTGGATGTAGAGTTGGATAAACGTGGTAATCTCTCCTCCTGCTCTTTTCTCCTCCTCCAGGTTTTGTTAGCTGTGGATTATTCTGTTCTTCTTTTCCACGGCCGAGACCACATTCAGAAATATCTTCTGACTCTCATGAACATAGTAAGTAAAATCATGAACTCAGATGTTTAATTCAGTGTTAAATAGAGATGATGTTAGTGTTGAGTCCTGTTGGTGGACTGCTGCCCAAATAAACTCAAAGAGGATCATCTCAAAATCTGCAAGATCAAACTCATGACCCTCCAGAATCCATGTGAGAGTGAGGTTTGACATTCTTTGGTCCAGATCCCTTGTATGTCCCTTGTATGAGGTTTCCCAGCTTTCCCTCAACATAAACAGGCTGAAACTATTTTTAACTTTTTTTAAAATGGGAACTACCAACTGCAAGTCAATGGGCACTGTAGACCAAGACAGCCCAACAATATTGAGAGTCTCTCAGGGTGAATATAATCCTCTCTGGCATGTTGCCATTGCATTTTCACAACCCCAGTGACCAGAACCGGAGAGGTGCAGGACACACAGAATCTGCTGAGGACGCATCAGGATCCACCAGACTACTAGCGAGTTGGACGGTGCTTGTTTTTTCATCTGCCGCTTTCTGGAGGCAGGCCCAGAAACTGACAGTAGACAAAATGTGTTTGTGAACAGATTTGAGGAGATAAATAGTCAACAACAGAATCTGGATCCATATCTGATCAGCACTGCCTAGTTTGACAGTTTGATCTGAGTTTGGTGCGTTAAGCTGGACGGACTCACTGAGAATGAGCTGTCAATCAAAAGGTAGCCCCGCCCTAAAGCATACCCTGCTTTATGGTCTGTTTTACTCTTTATGGGACCATCAGTTACTAAATGAACATCATGCTGTATGGAAGAAGACTGAAACTAGAGACTGAGACCAGAAACTCATCAGGAAACTGTTTAGTGTGCCAGAGCCTTGAATTTCCCTCGGGATAAATAAAGTATCTATCTATCTATCTATCTAGAGTTATGTCTCACTAAATGTTTGGGTTAACTTGAGTTTGTGGAGAGCTTAACGTATTTTGGCAGCCTTATCAGCAACACTGTGACACAGAAGGACATTGTTCCCCCAGGAGAGATTCCCATGGTGGAGGGGAGGTTGTATGTCACTCTACAACATCCTAGATCCACATTTTTAACATATATTCATCAAAATTTGTTTGGTTTGTTCTGTACACATTTCACATCTGTTTGCTCTGGGAAAGAGATTCTTCCTCTGAGGTTCTTCCTGAGGTTTCTACCACCTTTTACCCTGTTAAAAGGAGTTTTGGGGGAGTTTTCCTTCTCTACCTGAATCAAGGTTGTAAGGCCAGAGGGTGTTCAACCCGCTGAGACAAATTGTGTTTTTTGGGCTATATAAATAAAATCTGACTCATCATCATCAGGATGTCCAAGCAATGCAGCCTAAAACCATAGTTCCTTCTACTGTTGATCTGATCCCTACCCTGAGTATCTTGAGCTTCAATAACAAAGAAGCACTAACATAGCCAGAGTCTGTTGGTATGACTGTTGGGTCCACAGTCCAGTCCATCTGATCTTCCACCTTGAATTGCAGTTCAGCTGAAATCACAGTGGACCATTGATCCTCTTTTCTCTGGGGTTAGCCTGCAGGCAGTCAGAGCCCATGGGTCAAAGGTCAAGTCTGGATCCAACCCTAACTTGCCTCCTCTGGACTAGTTCAATGAACTGCTCTTTGTCTGGTCTTTCATATGGAACCAGTTTAACATGGTGACCTTACCATGAACTGGTTCTGGACACAGCACAACAGGAAACCCCTCCACTACAATACTGTGGTTAAGTACTAGAAGGTTAATCTCGATTTCTGAAAAGAACGCGTTCTTACAGCACCTCTCTCTGTCTGTTCCAGGTTAATGAGATCTATCAGGACCATTCTCTGGGCGCCAACATCAACGTTGTTCTGGTCAGAATCATCATGTTGTCGCCAGCAAAGGTATTAAACTGTGACTCTGTTTCAAAGCTACTGAAGGTTTCTGGTCAGGGAACTTCACTGTGTGAATGAACTAAAGTTGTTTTTGTGTGTTGTATTTGTCCTCAGGGAAGAGATTTTCAGTAAATGGTGTGTAAACTTTAGCTGGGCTCATCTACTGCACTGTGTTGTTATAGCTCAGTTTTTGGTTTTCAGTTTAAGCCAATTAATTAGCCAAGCCAACAGTTCATTTTTGTGTAGCGTGAGGATCTGTGCCACTTTGACAAGAACCACATTGTAATGGGCGACTGGGTCAGAACATCTCCAAACCGGCAGTTCTTGTGGGGTGTTCCCGGTCTGCAGTGTTTAAGTCCCCCAAGGCTTAATTTTATTCATTTTCTGTCAACAAACAGCGTAAACAAACTATAGCTAGCTAATGGTTAGCTGTTGACGAGTTGGGGAATGCATGGGAAAATGTAGCTTGTGTGGACAGTAATACATTATACTTGCGTTTCAGTGGGTTATTTAAAAAAGTAGTATTTGTTGTGCGTACACGGAATCCCCAGGAAATCCGTAATACCCCCACACGCAAGTTAAAACCCAATAAAATCTTAATCTCCCTCTATTAGTCCCTGGAGATGATCTCTTTGGGGAATGCCCAGAAGAGTTTGGAGAACGTTTGTGGATGGTCGTATCTCCAGCAGAGGGAGCAGAGTCACGCCGAGCAGCACGACCACACCATCTACCTGACCAGGCAGGAGTTCGGCCCCTCCGGCATGCAGGGTACTTCTGCTAATACCTCCACTAATACTACAAGTACTACTACTAACACCATCCATCTGACCAGAGAGTCCAGCACCTCCAGCATGCAGAGTACTGCTGCTGATACGACCACAAACACTACAAATACTAGTAGTAACACCATCTACCTGTCCAGGAAGCAGTTTGGCTGCTTGGGTATGCAGGGTACAACTCCTAATAGTTTTACTAATAATAAAAGTGCTACTACTTACCCTGTGTACTCAACTAGGTGGGAGTTTGGCCTCTGGTATGTAAGGTACAATTGCTAATACTACTACCAACAACACTTAATCTACACTTCAATCTACCTGTGCAGGAAGGAGTTTGACAGGTTGCACTAGTAATACAAATGCTACTGCTAACATCATTTACATTACTAGATAGGACCTCTCCTGCAAGTGAGGTACAACTGCTAATACTACCATTAATACTACAAGTACTATTGCTAAAACGATTTACCTGACAAGGCAGGAGTTTTACCTGTCCGGCATGCAGGGTACTACCACTTCTACTGCAAATACTGCTAACACCACCTGCCTGATGAGGTCCTGACCTCTGACCTGTTGATCTGTCTCTGCAGGTTATGCTCCAGTTAAAGGAATGTGTCATTTGCATCGGAGTTGCGTCCTCGTTTTTGAGGACGGTTTTTCCTCTGCCTTTGTAGCTGCCCATGAAACAGGACACGTGTGAGACACACAAACACAAACACTACATAAATAAATGCACATTTGTTGGCCGTATTAGTAAAAATTTCACATTTTAGAAAATTAACAACCTCAAAATGACTCTCAGGTGAAAAGATGATAGACTGTATCAACAAGAACTGACTCCCAGGTGTCCATCTGAAGACAGTAATTGATTTTAAGGTTGTCTGTCTGTCTGACTGCCTGTCTTTCTGTCTATCTGTCTGTCTGTCTGTCTGTCTGTCTCAGCTTAGGGATGGAGCATGACGGTGAGGCCAATGATTGTGCTGATGATGTGCCGTTGGGCAGCATCATGTCTCCACGGGTTCAGGCCACCTTCCATCGATACCACTGGTCCAGATGCAGCTGGAGGGAGCTGCACCAGTACCTGCAGTCAGTACTACTACTACTACAACTACTACTAGTAGTACAACTAGAATACTTACTGTTGTGTGAATATATTTGCTCTAATTCCACATCAGACATCCACCCAACACAACGCATGTCAGCCAAAACCTCTGTCTGTCTGTCTGTCTGTCTGTCTGTATGTTTGCCTGTCTATCTCTTCAGTACCTATGACTGTCTCCGTGATGACCCGTTCAACCATGATTGGCCGGCTCTGCCTCAGCTGCCAGGGTTTCAGTACTCTATGGATCAACAGTGTCGCTTTGACTTCGGACCAGGATACAGTCTCTGTACTGTAGTAAGTCTGTCTGTCTGTACCCAGACCATCTGATGATAGGTGACCTTTGTCCTCTTTCAAACCTTTATAGTTTTTTTGTTTTTTTTAGTAACACAACCAGCATCATTCAGTAACTGCTTGAAGATTAAATTGATGTGTTTTCGTTACCTTAGAATGGGACTACACTACTAGATGCCACTAAATCCTGGTGACCAGTGCCTGAATTGGACCAAAAAAGGGTGCCAGTACCTAAATTCAGCACAACCCTAAACACAACATAACCCTAATTCTTTTGCCATTCTCACAAAAAACACAGGTTTGCTGACCTCGGTGGTGGGTATGGCCATGCTCACCAGTGAGAGGCTCCAGATAGTTTGCAACACAGAACCATTTGGGAAGTCGCTGTTGGAAAGTGCAGGCTCTTTTAAAAAAACAACTCTCCCGGTGATTGGATAAACCATCTGTCTATCAATGAACCATATAACATTGTCAAAGAAGAGAGAAAAGCCTTCAGTGTCGTTCTTTGTTCTTCTTTCAAAAAGAAATACTCTCCAGTTCTGAGGGAACTGATGCTAGCAGCAGATGCGCTAACCTCTTTAGCTGCCACCATTGTTGTTTATCTATCTTCTGGCTTCACTTACGCCTGTACTGCCAGTACTACAGAGGATGCTGATTAGTCTGGTACCACTGTAATTTGGTCACACATATTAAAGACTGGCAAGATAGATTATCTTGTGATCTTGCAAATCCAGCTTCCTCACAAGGATAATTCAATTCAATTCAATTCAATTTTATTTGTATAGCGCCAATTCATAACAGAAGTTATCTCAGGACACTTTTCAAATAGAGCAGGTCTAGACCGAACTCTTTAACATTAATTACAGAGACCCAACAGTACCAAATAAAGCACTGGATAACATATAAATAAAACTCTAAAAACCACACAGAGGACAAGATGAGGAAACTATTTAAGTGTGAGTAGATCCTCCAAATGGAACAATTTAAATTGAACCCGGGATAAAGGCGTTCTGAGACTGATGTGTGCAGATGTGACCTGCTGACGTGTTTTTGGGTAGGAGGCCAGCACCACATCTGTTCAGGATGTTAACTGTTTGATGATATCACACATAAAGCTTCCCCAGGAGGAAGATGTACATGAGCACATAAGATCAAATGTATCAGCAGTCTTTAATCTGAGGGCGTCTCTGTTTCCAACATTTCAACATGATGATGAAATTATTTGTTGTCACAGGTCCTGTTTTGTTGAACAGATCCATGTTTCACAGTTTCTCTCAGGTTTGGTTCTGATTGTTTTTATTTTGGCTCAGATGGAAGAGGTCAGAATCTGAGGTTTTATGAGAATTTTTAGTGAACACTGTCTCTCACTGTGTTTTGTGCTGTTGTTTATGGTCTGTTTTGTATATATATATAGATATATTTTGACATATTCTACATATCTTTGTGTGTCTCCAGTACACAACACTTGAGCCCTGTAAACAGCTGTGGTGCAGCGACTACAACAACCCGTTCTACTGTAAGACCAAGAAAGGTCCACCACTCGATGGGACAAAGTGTGGACCGGGGAAGGTGAGGACCAGTGTTGCCACAGTTACTTTGAAAAAGTAATCTGATTAGTATTAGTGATTACTGCTTTAAAAAGTAACTTAGTTACTTTACAGATTACTTGATTTTAAAAGTAACTAAGTTAGATTACAATTAAATTTTTCAATTCAATTTTATTTGTATAGCGCCAATTCATAACAGAAGTTATCTCAGGACACTTTTCAAATAGAGCAGGTCTAGACCAAATTCTTTATAACATTATTTACAGAGACCCAACAGTACCACCATGAGCAAGCACTTGGCGACAAGGGCAAGGAAAAACTGCCTGTTAAAAGGCAGAAACCTAGGACAGATCCTTCGGCTCTAGGTGGGTGGTCGTCTGTCTCGACCAGTTGGGGTGAGAGAGAGAGAGAGAGAGAGACAGACAGACAGACAGGTGCACAGCAACAACAGTATTGTCAATGGCAATCTAGCAGGACCATGGCAGGAGGCTCCACCAGGATCGATAACAACCTCCGAGACGAGAAAGCACAAGAACTTCGGGGAAGAAGTGAAGTTAGTAACATGCATTAATGGAACAGGAATGAGTGCAGAAAGAGAGAGGAAGGGAGGAGCTCAGTGCACCATGGGAAATCCCCCGATAGTCTAGGCCTATAGCAGCATAACTAAGGGATGGTTCAGGACTCACCTGATCCAGCCCTAACTATAAGCTTTATCAAAGAGGAATGTCTTAAGCCTACTCTTGAATGTGGTGAGGGTGTCTGCCTCCCGAACCACAACTGGAAGCTGGTTCCACAGGAGAGGAGCTTGGTAACTGAAGGCTCTGGCTCCTGTTCTACTTTTAGAGACTATAGGAACCACAAGTAGCCCAGCAGTCAGAGAACGTAGTGTTCTAGTGGGGTAATAGGGTACTATGAGCTCTTTAAGATATGAAGGAGCCTGACCATGAAGAGCTTTATAGGTGAGGAGGAGGATTTTAAATTCTATTCTACATTTTACAGGGAGCCAATGCAGAGAAGCTAGTACAGGAGAGATGTGATCTCTTTTTCTAGTTCTTGTCAGTACTCGTGCTGCAGCGTTCTGAATTAATTGGAGCGTTTTAATGGACTTATTGGGGCAACCTGATAATAAAGAGTTGCAGTAATCCAGCCTTGAAGTCACAAATGCATGGATTAGTTTTTCTGCATCTGTCTGTGATAGTATGTGTCTAATTTTTGTAATATTACGTAAATGAAAGAAGGCAGTCCTAGAGGTCTGCTTTATGTGGGAGTTAAATGACAAATCCTGATCAAAGATAACTCCAAGATTCCTGACAGTGGTGCTAGAGGCCAAGGTAATGCCATCTAGAGTAACTATATCTTTAGACAGTGAGTCTCTAAGGTTTTTGGGGCCAAGAACAAGAATTTCGTTTTTTTCTGAGTTTAACATCAGAAAATTGCAGCTCATCCAGGATTTTATGTCCTTAAGACATGTTTGTAATTTAGATAATTGATTAATTTCATCGGGCTTGATTGATAGATATAACTGCGTATCATCTGCATAACAGTGAAAGTTAATGGAGTGATTCCTAATAATGTTGCCTAAAGGGAGCATATATAAAGTAAATAGTATTGGTCCAAGTACAGAACCTTGTGGAACTCCATGACTAACTGTAGTATTTATTGAAGATTCATCGTTAACATGTACAAACTGCGAGCGATCTGATAACTATGACTTAAACCAGCTTAGTACATACATTCCTTTAATGCCAATTTGATGCTCAAGTCTCTGTAAAAGAATATTATGGTCAATGGTGTCAAATGCAGCACTAAGATCTAATAATACAAGTACAGAGACAAGTCCATTGTCAGAAGCAATCAGAAGGTCATTATTAACTTTAACCAGAGCTGTCTCTGTGCTGTGATGAACTCTAAATCCTGAATGCAAATCCTCAAATAAACTATTGTTATGTAGAAAGTCACACAACTCTTTGGCGACTACTTTCTCCAGAATCTTAGAGAGGAAGGGGAGGTTAGAGATTGGTCTATAGTTGGCTAAAACCCCTGGGTCAAGAGTGGGCTTTTTAAGAAGGGGTTTAATTACAGCTACTTTAAAGGACTGTGGTACATATCCTGATAATAAAGAAAGATTAATCATATCCAGTAAAGAAGTGCCAATTAAGGGAACAACTTCTTTAAGCAGCCTAGTTGGGATCGGGTCTAGTAGACAGGTTGATGGCTTCGATGAAGAAATGATTGAAGTTAACTGATGAAGATCGATAGCAGAAAAACAGTCTAAATATATATCTGAGTTTACATTGACAGAAGTCCCTGAACTTGGAGAGCCACTGATAACTGTTGATGGCAGTTGGTGATTAATTTTCTCTCTAATAGTAATAATTTTATTATAGAAGAAGCTCATGAAGTCATTGCTACTTAAGTTTATGGGGATATGTGGCTCAATAGAGCTGTGGCTCTCTGTCAGCCTGGCTACAGTGCTGAAGAGGAACCTAGGGTTATTCTTATTTTCTTCTATTAGTGCTGAGTAATAGGCTCCTCTGGCATTACGGAGGGCCTTTCTATAAGTTTTAAGATTATCTTGCCAATTTGAGCGATATTCTGATAATTTGGAAGAGCGCCGTTTCCTTTCAGATTTCCTAGCTACTTGTTTTAACTGGCGGGTTTGGTGGTTATACCACGGTGCTATTCTCCTATGTTTTAATAATTTCCTTTTTATAGGAGCGATAGAGTCTAATGTTGATCGTAGTGAGCCTGCAGCACTATCAACAAGATTATCAATTTCAGAGGGACTAAAGTTGTTATAGGATTCTGTTAAATTCAGACATGGCATTGAATTAAACACTGAAGGAATCCCCTCCTGAAATTTAGCTACAGCACTGTCAGATAGACATCTGCTGTAGGAAGTTTTGCCTAATGGCTTATAATCTAATAGTATGAATTCAAAAGTTATTAAATAATGGTCAGATAGGAAAGGATTATGTGGGAAGACTATTAAATGTTCAATATCAATGCCATATGATAAAACAAGGTCAAGAGTGTGATTAAAACAATGAGTTGGTTTATTTACACTCTGACAGAAGCCAATTGAGTCTATTAATGATATAAATGCATTACTAAGGCTGTCATTGTCAACATCCACATGAATATTAAAATCACCTACAATAATTACTTTATCTGATTTAAGGACTAAACTTGATAAAAACTCTGAGAATTCAGATATAAAATCAGAGTACGGTCCAGGAGCACGGTACACTATAACAAATAGAACTGGCTGCAGTGTTTTCCAGTTTGGGTGAGAAAGACTAAGAACAAGGCTTTAAAATGAATTATAATTTAGTTTAGGTTTAGGGTCCATTAAAACGCTCGAATCATATATGGCTGCCACTCCACCTCCTCGGCCTGTGCCTCGAGGAATGTGAGTATTAATATGACTGGGGGGGGTGGATTCATTTAGGCTAACATACTCCTCGTGGGACAACCAGGTCTCAGTAAGACAAAGTAAATCAATATCATAATCTGATATTAATTCATTCACTAAAACAGCTTTAGAGGACAGAGACCTGATATTTAACAGTCCACATTTCATTCTCTTATTTTGTACTACTGAGGAGTTGGTTTTAATTTTTATTAGATTTTTATGTTGAACTCCTCTTGTTTTTATTTCTTTAAATAATTTAGGTGGTCGGGGGACAGACACAGTCTCTATGGGGTTTTGGGTGGGTGACTGTTCTAAAGAAAGCGCAGAGAAGTGTGTAAGACAGCAGCTCTGCTTCCTGGTCCCAACTCTGGACTGTCAGGTTTTAGAGATAAACTTCGCCATATTTCTAGATAAGAGAGCCGCTCCATCCAAAGTGGGATGGATGCCGTCTCTCCTAATCAGACCAGGTTTTCCCCAAAAAAGGCTTCCAGTTATCAATGAAGCCCACATCGTTTACTGGACACCACCTCGACAGCCAGCGGTGGAATGACGACATGCGGCTATACATCTCATCACTGGTCACATTGGGGAGGGGTCCAGAGAAAACTACGGAGTCCGACATTGTTTTTGCATAATTACACACCGACTCCACATTAATCTTAGTGACCTCCGATTGGCGTAAACGGGTGTCATTACCGCCGACGTGGATAACAATCTTACTGTATTTAGGTTTATCTTTAGCCAGCAGTTTTAAATTTGATTCAATGTCGCCCGCTCTGGCCCCAGGGATACATTTAACTATGGCTGCTGGCTTCGCTAACTTCACGTTTCTGACTATGGAGCTGCCAATAACCAGAGTTGGTTCCTCAGCGGGTGTGTCGCTGAGTGGGGAAAATGTATTAGAGACATGAATGGGTTGGTGGTGAACTGTGGGCTTCGGCGTTTTAGTCTTCCTTCGCTCAGTCACCCAGCCTCCCTGTCTTCCCGGCTGCTCGGGAACTACCAGGGGAACTACCGGGGGAACTACCGGAGGAACTACCGGGGGAACTACAGATCTAACAGAAGCTACCTTTGGTCGGACCGCACCGGCTACTGGGGGCTGGCTAACTATAGCGGCTAAAGATATCTCTGTGGTGCGGTCCGTTCCTCTAACTCACTAAGCCTCGCCTCCAGCGCAGTAAATAAACTACACTTAATGCATGTACCATTATCATTAAAGGAGGCAGAGGAATAACTAAACATCTGACACACTGAGCAGGACAGAGGAGAGGGAGAGGGAGAAGCCATAGCTAACTGCTAATGCTAATGAAGCTAGCGTGTATGAAAAACTTTGAAAGTAGTGAAAAGTCACTAAAAGAAGGAGTAACTCCGAGTGTTTAGGTAGAACTAGTCTACGTTTAAATGTTAAGCAGGAAAATAACCGCTGTAACGAGTAAAACTAATGTATATTTAGCGTTCACTGACAGAGCTAGAGCACCAAACAGTGTACACAGAGCAGGAAGTAAACCGGAAGTGAGTCAGTACGCTTACCGTAGCACGTCACCAACCGTATGCAGGTCAACAAATGCATGGATTAGTTTTTCTGCGTCTGTCTGTTATAGGAAGTGTCTAATTACAAGTTACTTTATTAGTTACATTAAGTAGCTGCCGACAACACCCCCGCCGCCTCAACATAAAAATGACAACCAGTTTTGCCAACACTCACTTTATTGGAAGTGCATTTTTAACAGTAACGTCAACAATGTATCTCCTGACAGTTTTTATAAAAATAAAATGACATAAAATGTCTTTCTTGACTTCACTTAACATAAATACTTGTTTTTATAAAATATAAAATAAAGACAGTCTTTCTTGACCTGACATATTTAATGGTTAACACTAATGGCAAAACTTACTATTTATAATCTACATTGTTTATAAATGTAACTATTAAATTCTTTTTAACATGTTTTATGAACATTGTACCTGTTGTTCACAGCATTAGAGCAGCAAGGAGTGGTTTTACAAAACAAAACAAGTGTATAACACGACACGTAGGCTGATATCATGTCTACTTTTGTTACTTTGGCCTAATCTTATGTTGTAATCGCATGTTATGACTGAAACAGTGGAGTGGGGTGAGTAAACCAGTGGTTGTACCTCATTAACAGAAGCTTCTCAAACCTTTTGTCAGAAAGTCTATTTCTTCTAGGCGTGAGCACCAAACCTCCCAGACTGAAAAGCCGCTCCACAGGAGCACTTGATGGGGTTGGAGTGTTATACTTCAAGAAAATTTTCTTTATATTTGGAAACTGATGCAGAATCTGAAGGTCATAGGCTGACCTCAGGTAGTCAATCACTTCATTTTCTGCAGAATAGGCACTCTGCTGTCAGAAGCTCTTTTACTCGCTCCCTCCTACCTGCATCTCTCAGCCATCGGAGTTTGAATTTTGGACAACTGACAGCTGCGAGAAGAGCTTCTTTGTCGTCCAGCACACTGGCAAAACGAGTCTCGATAGCCTGAAATATATAATTGATATGTTTATGCCTACAAGGCCTACTATTTATTATGTCATTGAATTACTTGCAAACCATGCCTAATGTGGGATCAATATTATGGATTTAATTTTGTTTTAGGTTACTTACTGACATTTGTATTTGTTTTAATCTTCTTTTGCAATGATAATGAATATTCTGTTCCATGTTCATGAACAGTGTGATGCAAGAAATTAGAAAATGAACTATCTTAAAAGATGGAACATACCTGCACTATGGCATCTGGAAGGCCTGCAGTCATCCTGGAGAGGTCAGGTCATCTTTCACAGCCATGGTCTTCAGAACTTCAAGTGTGGGTAGTGAAGTCCCATAAGAACAGTCGCCTTGTAAAATGTCCAGTGCTGCAGTTAGGGGCTTCATGGCGGTGCAGTACTCATGCAGGAACTGATACTCTTTGTCTTTGAAGCACTTAACTCCCAGCTTGGTGCACAGAGTATTCAGCTCACTCATGGGGATTTCTGCAATTCTCTTTACAGCATCAAAAAAGGAGTTCCACCATGTGGATGTTGGTACCAGGAGCTTTCTTTTGCTGACTTCCTCCACTGTTTCTGATGCAAGGGTAGATCTACTTGATTTGGTCCAAAGAGCTGTGCATTTTGCTGTGCTGCTCCTATACACAGCCTTGCTCTCTGCATTGGAAGTTAAATATTTCTCCACATCATTTATGGAAATGAGGTTGATGGTGTGTGAAGCACACCTGTGGTGTGGGGGAAGTGACAGCTTCCCATCACTTTCATCCTCAGCTGAGAGGATTTCTGACAGATCTAAAAAAGTGACATCATCATCTGTGGGGGTGGACTCTCCCTCCTCTGTCTCATCATCGGACTCTGTGACAGGCTGATAAACTTTAAATGCCTTGACAAAGTTGGATCCATTATCAGTCACTGTAGCAACTACTTTGTTGAGTAGTCCATATGAAGAGTGAATGATTTCGATTTCGGCACCAATAACATCACACCTGTGTTTACCGCGAATTCTCCTACATGCCAATGCAGCCTTGTTGTGCTCTAATGTGGATCTACTGATCCAGTGGAGCGTTACTCCCATATAACTTCTGTTGTTAGCAGTCCAAATATCCGCGGTAGTTGACACAAAGTCAACCTCATTCAGCGCGGCCTTCAGATTTCTCTCCATCACTGCATACTGCTTCTCCATGTAAGAAGAAAATGCTGTTCTGTGAGGCATCTCGGCATTGACAGTAGTAGGGATCTTGTTTATTATGGCACGAAACGAGGGCGAGTCAACCGTGTTTAAGGGCAGTGTAGAAACTTCAAGGATCACACTGACTTTGGAAATAACTCCGGTTTATTGACGAACACAAAACTGAGTGAGACCGAGCCGACATTAGTATCACAGTATTACGGAGCAATGCAGAACAAGGGGGCACGGTGATTGGCTTAGCTGTCAGACACACCTTCAGGTACGGTGGCTCACATTAAACAAACAGTGCATCATTTAGCCAAATGATCTACATCCTTTCCCTTAAGCTCACACCTCTTATATCAAACAGAATAACACTGGGAAAATGACAATAAAGAATATTTCTTTCTCGCTGCGTTGTTACACGAGTTTCAATAAACAATCCATTACCGATATACCTGGCTAAACTCAATACAGCAAATTAAGGTGGGTGAACACTTAAATCCACGTCAACACATATGCATATCGTAATACTACCACCATACTGTGAGCGCATAAATGAAAGAACCTGGCGCAAGTATCCATTGAACATTACATTTCAAATACTGGTAACTGATTATTTAAACTGCATTCCTGGCAGGATACTTTCACTGCATATATTTTGACTTTGGTCTGCAAGTGCGTCCTGAGCGTGTTATGTATTGTGTGTTTCTGTTCTCACTGGGGAAGTGTGCTGTGGGCACTGGCCGGGGTGGGGATGTGTGTTTTGGGTGCATGGCGTTCAGCTCTGGTGTTTGTGGTATGGGGGTTGTACAGTCCATTGTGCAGGGACTAGAGTTCTGAGAGTCCGGGTCATCTGCATGAAGCAGTGGTGGTGTTGGCTCCGCAACAGGAAGAATGTGGCGGCGGTTCCTCCTGTATGTTCCTCCGTTGGACTGGATGACATAAGAGCGTGGCTCCTGGCATATCTCCTTCACAGTCCCAAGTTGGTCATATCCTTTAGGGGTCTGCATACGCACCACTTGTCCCTCTGCCAAAGGTTGTAGTGGGAGACTCGACTTGTCGTAGTGTCGTTTCAGAGTGAGTGAGCCTAATGTTGTATCACGGGGAATGTTTCTGAGGTTCAGAAGATTGAGGAAAACGTCGGTTCCATCTCGGTGAGATTTCTCCATCAACTGCTTGGCACTGCGGACCGCTCTCTCTGCAAGCCCGTTCGACTGGGGAAATTCAGGGCTGCTAGTGGCATGGATGAAATCCCATTGTTTGGCAAAGTCTTTAAAATGCTGACTGGTGTATTGTCTAGCATTGTCAGAGAATTCAATTCAATTCAATTTTATTTGTATAGCGCCAATTCATAACAGAAGTTATCTCAGGACACTTTTCAAATAGAGCAGGTCTAGACCGAACTCTTTAACATTAATTACAGAGACCCAACAGTACCACCATGAGCAAGCACTTGGAGACAAGGGCAAGGAAAAACTGCCTGTTAAAAGGCAAAAACCTAGGACAGATCCTCCGGCTCTAGGTGGGTGGGCGTCTGTCTCGACCAGTTGGGGTGAGAGAGAGAGAGAGAGAGAGAGAGAGAGAGAGAGAGGCAGAGAGAGAGAGAGCGAGAGACAGACAGACAGACAGACAGACAGGTGCACAGCAACAACAGTATTGGCAATGGCAGTCAAGCAGGACCATGGCAGGAGGCTCCACCAGGATCCATGAGAACCTGCGAGACGAGAAAGCACAAGAACTCCGGGGAAGAAGTGAAGTTAGTAACATGCATTAATGGGACATGAATGAATGCAGAAAGAGAGAGGAAGAGAGTAGCTCAGTGCACCATGGGAAATCCCCCGATAGTCTAGGCCTATAGCAGCATAACTAAGGGATGGTTCAGGACTCACCTGATCCAGCCCTAACTATAAGCTTTATCAAAGAGGAACATCTTAAGCCTACTCTTGAATGTGGTGAGGGTGTCTGCCTCCCGAACCACAACTGGAAGCTGGTTCCACAGGAGAGGAGCTTGGTAACTGAAGGCTCTGGCTCCTGTTCTACTTTTAGAGACTATAGGAACCACAAGTAGCCCAGCATTCAGAGAACGTAATGTTCTAGTGGGGTAATAGGGCACTATTCAATTCAATTCAATTTTATTTGTATAGCGCCAATTCATAACAGAAGTTATCTCAGGACACTTTTCAAATAGAGCAGGTCTAGAACGAACTCTTTAACATTAATTACAGAGACCCAACAGTACCACCATGAGCAAGCACTTGGCGACAAGGGCAAGGAAAAACTGCCTGTTAAAAGGCAGAAACCTAGGACAGATCCTCCGGCTCTAGGTGGGTGGTCGTCTGTCTCGACTATGAGCTCTTTAAGATATGAAGGGGCCTGACCATGAAGAGCTTTATAGGTGAGGAGGAGGATTTTAAATTCAATTCTACATTTTATAGGGAGCCAATGCAGAGAAGCTAGTACAGGAGAGATGTGATCTCTTTTTCTAGTTCCTGTCAGTACTCGTGCTGAGAAGAGGGTGTGCGGCCTGCCATGGACTGAAAAATGTCTTTTCAGCTTGGAGATCACAGCTGATGACGTAATGTTAGGGAGAAGGTCGATTTCAAACCATCCAGAATATGAATCCACAAGCACTTGGTAGTATTTGCCATGCCACTCGAAGATGTCTGTGGCCACTGTGGACCATGGAAGGTCCGGAACAGAGTGAAGTTCCAGAGGTTGTCTCTGCTGATGGGGCTTGGTGCTGTTGCACACCGTGCATGAGAGCAGCTCCTTGGAGATGTCGTCGGACATTGTTGGCCAGAAGATGATGCCTCTAGCTCTGCGCTTGGTCGCTTCAGCACCTGGGTGGCCTTGGTGCACAATGTTTATGTACTCTTTGTGCAGTGACTGGGGGATGATGGTTTTGTGGCCTTTCATGACAACTCCATCCTCCACTGTGAGCTCGTCTCTATAAGGGAAGAAGACCTTCACAGCAGGCTGGAGCTGGCTTTCTTTGGCGGGCCAGCCTTTACGAATGACCATGCTGAGGGTTTGTAGGACCTCATCCACTGCTGTGTGCCTTCTTAGTTCCTCCAGACGGGCTGTGGAGACGTGGCTCACCGACATGACTTCAAAAGCATCGTTTTCAGTGGGGCTCTGGGATATCATTGTGTTTGGGGCTCTTGAGAGAGTGTCTGCCAGGTACATGTATTTTCCCTTTTTGTAAACCAGGATGATGTCGTGACACTGCAGCCTGAGTAGCATTCTCTGGAGCTGGGCAGGGGCGGTGTGAATGGGCTTTTTCAGGATTGTTACAAGAGGCTGGTGATCGGTTTCCACAATTGTGGGCTTTCCATATATGTAATCCTTGAATTTCGTGCAAGCAAACACCACAGCTAGAAGCTCTCTCTCAATCTGGGCATATCGAGTCGCTGTGTCCGTGAGAGTTCGTGATGCAAACGCCACTGGTCTGCCGTTTTGCATGCATGCAGCTCCGAGTCCATAGCATGATGCGTCACTGGTGAGTGTGACTGGCGCCTTGACATCATAGTATGCCAGGCAGCATTTCCTCTACAACATACTGCCCGACCAACTTCTTCAACTCTCCCCCACTTACTGGTTTTGCACCAAAATCCAGCTTTTGTTGTTTGGGTGGTGGGGGACCTCCTGCTGTCTGCTTCGTACCACCTGGTGGGACTTGCTCTGTAAGTTTGACTGTGCAGTGCTGCGACTCCAAATGTTTCTTCAAATTTGACGTAATGTTTTTGTAGCTAGATAGCACTTTGTTGCCACCAGCACAGAGTGTACAACCAACCTTAATATTGCCATCTTTAGCTGACACAAACTCAAAATAGTGACTGTATTTCCAGCTAGCAAACGCGCATCTCTCTCCTCCCTCCATTGTTGTTTGTGTTTGTGTCTGCGTAGCCTACACGTGAACTGTCCTCATGCTGAAAACGTGACTTGTCACATAGGCTACGTCACGTGACTTCACTCCCAGAGACGCAAGAAGAAAGCAAATATATTTTTATTAGGGAAAATGACAAACATAGTAACGCACAGTGACTTGGATAAGTAACTTTAATCTGATTACCGGTTTGGAAATACTAACGCATTAGATTACTCGTTACTGAAAAAAGTGGTCAGGTTGGAGTAACCGGCATCACTGGTGAGGACACATTCAGAGTAATGTTTAGCTGCGTAAAAACTAACTGCCTTAGCTAGTTAGCTACTTTTAATCATCCATGTAGAAACTCCATAAATCACCTCAGTACTGCTGTCGTCAAACTGTCCTCTATCTGTTTTAGAGGTTGTGTTCGATCCCGGTCCGACCGTGTTCACTGAGAGACTGCTGAGCCCGGTTTCCATTGCACGCTCACAGCAGCTACATTAGCAGTTAGCTCACAGCAGCTACATTAGTACTTCGCGGAGTTGAGGCAGCCGGAGGACGTCAGAGTTAAAACCAAACAATATTTTCTCCATAAAATATTATCCAGTTTCAGAACAGTAATTTTTGAACAGTAATAAAGTTGTCTGTTTATGCTAAGCTAGGCTAACTACATCCTTCATTCTGAACTGTCTTGCGTCTCCATGGTAACTGTGTGTTGTTGCAGCACTGTTTTAAGGGTTTTTGCATGAGGTTGACCCCTGACATGCTGAGACAAGATGGCGGCTGGGCAACCTGGAGTCCATTTGGCAGCTGCTCCAGGACCTGTGGGGGTGGGGTCAGGTTTCGGGCCAGGCGCTGTGACAACCCAGCGTGAGTGAGCCGCCAATCATCTGTGATAACACGATACGGCACGATAACACACATCCGACACACTAGAGAAACTAACCTGTTGTTGTTCTCAGTCCAGCCAACGGGGGGCGTACCTGCTTCGGAAACAGTTATGAGTTCCAGCTGTGCAGTCAAGAAGAGTGTCCACCACTGACTGACTTCAGGTCAGTAGATCTACTGTTTATTCTGATATCTGTGTCCACTGACTGACTTCAGTGTTAAGTTAATTGCAGTTGTATTGCGTTGCTGTGGATCTCTTGTGTATCTCAGCAGTCAATATATGTTTGTATGTGTTTGTCTGCAGGTTGATTGGTTGTTTTTCTCTTTCAGGGAGGATCAGTGTAAAGTCTGGAATCCATTTTATGAACACGAAGGAAGCAAACATCACTGGCTGCCGTACCAACACCCTGACCGTAAATACACACTTTATGTACAGACATTATATACACACACCCTGAGCAAAGTGGAAACTTTAATCTAATCTTCAAGTTTAGAAAAAAAGTATGTGTGTGTGTGTGTGTGTGTTCACATGTTAAACTCATCAGCCAGGAATCTGTTATTGGAAGGAAACTTGTGGCCTCTCCTCCTTTAACTCCTTAAAGTCTGAAAATATTTTCATTTCCGTCTCTTTAAACTTTTAATGTTCCATCTTAAATGTTCCAACCCAATGTTCCATCTTAAATGTTCCACCTTAAATGTTCCACCTTCAGAAGCTGTGATATAATAATAATATTAATATAATATGTCCATCATAATGTTTGTGTGTGTTTGCAGCTGATGAGCGCTGTCGTCTGTACTGTCAGTCAAAGGAAACAGGCGCCGTGGTTTCCATGAACAGAATGGTGCATGATGGGACGCCATGTTCCTACAGTGATGCCCACAGCGTCTGCGTCCGAGGAGAGTGTGAGGTCTTTATTCTCAACTTCTTTAGTCTGTGTTGTTAAACTGACGTAATTGTAATGGTTCTAAAAGTGAAACTACAGTAAAATATTAAATGTGAATAAAATATGAAAATATGTTTCTTCTTATAACAGCTGCTCCTGAAACATCTCTCTGCCTAGTTACTTACTGTGAAATTACCTTTGTTCTGTTTTATTTATTTTATTTTATATGACTCTGCCAGCTCCCAGCCAATCTAAAAATGGTCAAAGAGGTGGGGCTGAATGAAGCCTGGTTATTGTCTTTATAGTCGTCTCCATGTTGGTGTTTAGCAGCCAGCGGAGGTCACGTACAGCGAGTTGAGCTGCTCTCATTGGCTGCTCTTGGTTTGGAAACAATGGCGGCTCTACTGCTCACACAGGATCTGGTATTCCAGATAAACAGTAAAATGTGTTTGTGAACAGATTTGAGGAGAGAAATAATCAACAACAGAATCTGGATCCATATCTGATCAGCACTGTTTGACAGTTTGATCTGAGTTTGGTGCGTTGAGCTGGACGGACTCACTGAGAATGAGCTGTCAATCACAAGGTAGTCCCGCCCTAAAGCATACCCTGCTTTATGGTCTGTTTTACTGTAAATGGGACCATCAGTTACTAAATGAACATCATGCTATATAGAAGAAGACTGAAACTAGAGACTGAGACCAGAAACTCATCAGGAAACTGTTAACTGAGCTCATACAGGAAGTCGGCTCATTCTCCATTAGAGTGAATGGGATCAGTTTTTATTGCAGCCCCCTGCTGGTCGTTACATAGAATGCAGGTTTAACTTCAGAGACCTGGAAGCTCTGTACGTTATATAAACTGTCAATGGTCCCAATTAAGATCTACTCCTCCCCTCTGTCCTTGTTTCCTCTCTCCTCATGCAGCATGTAGGTTGTGATGGACAGATCGCTTCAGACCAGCAGGAGGACCGATGTGGTGTCTGTGGAGGAGATAACTCCAGTTGTAAGATCATCAAAGGAAACTTCACCCGCAGCACCAAGAAACAAGGTCTCTGAAAAACAGGAGATACTGATCAGGTTACAGGATGACCATCTGAAACAGTTAGATACTGGAGGCTCTTAAAACCTCATTCAGTACATTAACAGTTGCTTCCAGAACTTTCTCTGTTGGAGTATCTATTACTGATCAATTATTATTATGGTCTAGGTTACTTGAAAATCCTGGAGATCCCCAAAGGAGCCCGACATCTGCTGATCCAGGAGTTCAAAGGGACTCCTCACATCCTGGGTAAGAGGACAGAGGAGGAGCTTGTTTTGTCCACATGAAGAACTTCTGTAGCCCGGCATCTTATGGAAACCTTGATTTGTTTGTTTCCTGTACCAGCGGTGAAGAACCAGGAGACAGGTCACCTATTCCTCAACGATGAAGACGAGCTCCCAGAATCCAGAGTGGTGATTGAGAAGGGGGTGGCGTGGGAGTACAGCAACACTGAGGAGCAGGAGTCCATCCAGACCCCAGGGCCACTGAAATACGGAGTCCTGCTCATGGTCAGTCTACCAACACAGGGAGGCCAACTTTCTCACATTCTTGGTCATGTGTCTAAATCAGAGAAACTATTGCTTTCCTGTGTTTCTGCCTGTCAGGTCCGTCCCCATGGCGACTCCAAGGTGACGGTGTCCTATAAGTACATCATCCAGGATCATCTCCGGTCCTCGCTGGAGTCCAACGTGGTGCAAGAGGACGCCATCTTCTACGAGTGGGCACTGAAGAAGTGGTCACAGTGCTCCAAACCCTGCGGAGGAGGTACATGACTCTGTTCCTGGCTATCCCCCCTGAGGTTAGCTGTGTTATGTGGTTACCAGGGTAACTGCTACATAGTAGTTAACAGTGTTGTCTGGTTGCCAGGGAAACAGTACACAAGGTTTGGCTGCAGGAGGAAGGCTGATGGGAAAATGGTTCACAGGATGTTCTGCTCCAACATCAACAAACCTAGAGCCATCAGCCGCACCTGCAACACCAACGCCTGCAGCTCGCCACGGTAATAATCTACAGGTTGCTATGGTAACACACTACAGCTCAGCTACAGCTACACAGATGAACGTGTTCGGACTGATTTGGCTGATTGATTAAGTACTTCAAAATACATTTAATAGACCCCACGGAATAGACATTTTTGGTAAAGGGAAGAAAAGCTTTGACTCCTACTATTCTGCCTCCTCAGCTGGGTGACCGGAGAGTGGGAGGACTGCAGTGCCTCCTGTGGTCAGACAGGGTGGCAGCGTCGCTGGGTGAGCTGCCAGCAGGCGACCAGCATGGGGCAGCAGCACCAGCACTCAGTGAACAGCAAACTCTGTGGGGAGGACCGCCCGGATGGGAAACAAACCTGCAACCGCTTCCCTTGCCCTGCTTCCTGGCGGACTGGGCCCTGGACCCCGGTACAAACAGTGAAACCAGGGGATTATTCATAAATACATATATTTATTCATATATGTTTCTAACCTCTGTCCTTCTGGACTACCTCTAACTTCTGTCATTCTGGACTACCTCTAACTTCTGTCCTTCTGGACTACCTCTAACTTCTGTCCTTCTGGACTATGTCTAACTTCCTTCTTTTTGGTTTACCTCTAACTTCTTTCTGAGCTACTTCCAACTTACCTTTAACTTCCTCTTTTCTGGACTAACTCTTTCTTCTTCTATTTGGACCTCTCTGGACTAACTCATGCTTCTTTCTCTCCAGACTACCTGTGTCTGGACTATCCTTAACATAATTTCTCTCTGGACTCTGGACTCTGTTCTAACTTGGCCAGTTAAGTACTACTTTTAGCCCTAGGAAGTGCATTGAATATGATCAATAACTGTCCGATCGACATGTTTATGTTTGCAGTGTTCAGTATCATGTGGAAACGGGACTCAGGAGCGTCAAGTTAAATGTTCAAGTCCTGAGGGTTCAGCCCGAAACTGCAGTGAGCCTCGACCGAGCACAACCCGCACCTGCCAGGCCCTGCTTTGTAACGGTAAGCGTTGACTAATCACATACTGTAGTGTCAGACAGTGAGGGATGCTGGGAGTTGTAGTCTGTATGTAACTAACTGTGTTTGCTACCCCCCTTGCAGGCGACCAGAGGAACTCCATCATTCAGTGGCTGTCCAGGTCCAACACAAATTTCACAGCTTCAAATTTCAGCTCCAGTAAGGCACCCAGATTCTTCCTCCTCCTTTCTTTGTGAATGTTCTGATCTCCTCATGCGTTTGCTCTTCCTCTTCTTCCTCGACATAATCCTCCTCTTTCTCCTCCTCTCTTCCATCAAGAGTTGTTTGTGAATGTTACTCAGATTTTGTTGTCTAAGATGGAAGCTGATCTGATGTCAGATCATGTATCCAGGTAACACCAGGTGGAGATACACACTGATGTTTTTAACGGAACTGCTGCTCTGTCTCCAGGGCAGCGTTGCCGTGGGGACCGCTCAATATTTTGCCAGATGCAGGTGTTGAGGCGGTATTGCTCCAACGCTGGATACCGTCAGATGTGCTGCAAGGCCTGCAGCAACTTCAGCGACTTCAGCAACTTCAGCAACTCTGACAACTCCAGCAGCACAAATCTGCCGACAGCCAACAGCAGGTCAGAGCAAGAACTGGTCCCTTAAGATCTGAAACCATAAAACCACAGTTCTGATCTGATGCCACTGATCTTTCTTGTTTTTGTCTCCTAGTTTGTGGAGTGTAACCACAGAGACGATGACTTCATTAACCACCTCCACCTGGTCTGAAAGCCGCTTCATCATCAGTGACATCACTAGCACTCCCCCTCTGAGCTTCACTGTAACTCCGCCCCCAACCAGCAGGAGCAGCACTGACTTTGAGTACGTGGAGTACGACGATTACAACGAGTATTCGTCCTACGACGATCCTTCTGTTGCCTCTGACACTCCGGATATCATTCCCACTACAACTACAAAAACTACCACAACAAGACGTCCAAGAAAAACTGCTCCACCTCATTTATTCGGGAGGAAAACTACCACTCCCACAATGCCCCTTGCTACCATTCCCACAGTAACTACTGAAGGTCAAAGTCCAACACTGGTGCCAATCAGGACATCTGCCGTCCCAGAATTCCCCACCACAGCAACATCAGCTGATCCTGATGACATCGTCACCACCGCATTATCACCAAACAGAACATTAGGTGTAAGGAGCCTTCAGACTGAAGTTAGTCCGACAGAACCTGCACCAACGCCAACATCGGCGTCATCGTCCTCCTTCGTCCCGCTCTCTAAGAAGGAGAACAACTCAGTGGACGAGGTCCCGTACCGGATCGTGGGTTTGGATGGTGATATCACCAAGGGACAGCAGAACTACTTTGTGCCGCGGATGCCGCCATTTCGCGAGCGAACACAAAACAAACGCATCCAGCAGCTCCTGAACGAGAAACGACGTCAAGATCTTCTGAGGAGATCCAACAGGAGCCGAGAGGGCAGGACTGACAGGAAACATGTCGGATTGTAAAAATATTTCTGTTTTAGTTTTATTGTTCACTCGTGATGCCGCATGTGCAGCTTGCTCACTTCCTGCTAATGCTAATGAACTTGTGACGAGAAACAGACTGCGACAAAACAAACAACCAGCAGGTTCTCTCGACCTTCAGCTTCCTGTTTCCTAAAGTTTACAGTCATAAAGCAACGTTAGCTTGAATCTAGAATAAAGACAAAGGTTAATTGTGTAAGACCAGAACGTGGAAGCATTTGCTTCATTCTTCCCAAATGTTTATAGGGAGAAACTTTTTTCTGGTTTTTACATTCATGATGTTTGTATCAAATAATCCTAAATAAAGTCTCATTCAGCTGCTGATGTCATCTCGAGTCATAAACACCTCAAAGTTTAACATTTAGTGACATCTTCTTTCTCTCTGACACCCCTTTTCACCAAAGTATCAGAGGTTCCTAACCCAAGTATCAGAGGTTCCTAACCCAAGTATCAGAAGTATCAGAGGTTCCTAACCCAAGTATCAGAGGTTCCTAACCCAAGTATCAGAAGTATCAGAGGTTCCTAACCCAAGTATCAGAGGTTCCTAATCAAAGTATCAGAAGTTCTTAATCCAAGTATCAGAAGTTCCTTATCTTGAACCAGTTCTTTGTGTTTCGTGAATGTAGGGGTTACACTACTATTTAATTAGAAAGGTAATTATTATGAAAATAAAAATCTATATTTAATTTCATATTTCTGAAGTAGTGATTTCTTTTACATGATTCATCGATTTCCCCGCATCAAATCAAACCGGCACCGACAAGGACATACGGTTATATATGTTTATTAACTAAACTAATGCAGAGTAAATAGTATGAAATGACAATTCAAACAAATGACAACAAGCAACAGAATATGTGGACAATATATGACTTATTACTATTAGGTGATTCAGGAGCGATGGTGGATTTTGCGATGCGGCAGTAAGTTTAAAATATTACGAGAGTAAATTTTAGAACTGAGAGGCCCTAATTGAAAATTATCTTAAACTTAAAAGATGGGAATCAAAGCTTATAGACAGACACCAGCTCTTTTTCGTGTGTGAATCCGGCCGTGTACCGGAGAGTCAGCCTACTTTGTTTGTAGATGGAACTTGGAAGGATTCCAGGTCCTTGGCTTTTAGCTCAACAGCGGCTTTGCATCACTGATCCAACAGGCCGACGGAAGTTGCGTCTCGTCCCTGGTACCAGTGGCAATCTCTCCAAAACGCCAAGTGCGGCGTGTGCGCTAGTGAGCGTTGGGGGCAAGGTGGCTGGAGAATAATGTCTTTGTCCGGCTGGAAACGTTTATACGTCTTCTTGAGCAGTCACTGCGACGTCCTTCTGGCTGATGATAAATGTCTTAGAGTGGTTGGTCTTCAGCTTTGATTGTAAACTAATTCAGCTTCTTGTTTAAAAATAACTGGAGGATGAAACGCTGGCCTGGCGAATTCTCCGTCGTAACTAAGTCCGAGAATTAAACTAAATTCACTTTCTGTGAATCAGGCGACAATACTTGACGATAATACTACAAAAATATAAAAGAAGAAATTTGTTTGTGTCTTGAGCATTCAAAATAAAAGTACTTAGGAAAGTACTTCAGCACAGCAGTTTATAACTTGAAGAAAAATTCAACACATGTCGCAAACGAAGTAAAATAAAGCACGGAAATGAAAAGTAAGAGCGAGAATAAATAACGAGTGGATCCAACACTCTTAGAAAGAAGACAGGATCAGAAGAGTAAGAGAGAGAGGGAGTGACCGGAGTCTATCTCTTATATCTTTTATTCTGGAGGCGGAACTGGACGAGAGGAGCTGACCGCGCACGTCCCTTCCTTTAGCTATATTATGATATTCGTAACTTTATAATTTATTCCTATCATGTTTTAAAGTTTCGAGATCATAATTCACCGTTCACAGAACCCACCATGATTTAATACATAATTCACATGTTTTAACATAACATAACCGAAATTACTTAATGTAAAGGAAAAGTAGAACTGATTAAAATCATTAAATCATTAATCATTAAACACGCACATAAAACAGCACTGAGGGATTGTACATATTTCGTATAGTGCTAGCTTAATCCTTGTTACAAAAATTATGTGTCAGGCATTTACTATTTGGAATAATACACAATTATGAAACAAAATTCGTTTTGAAAGTACCTTACGCTATACCAGAATCTTACCAAAAGGTGGCACTGTGGCTCCATCAAACATTCAGACATTTTACACATGATTTTTTTAACTTAGTCCAATCTGAAGACAGAAACATCAGACAAACATTACATTTGCGATCTTCTCATGCTGGATGGCAATCTGTTAATTAGGAGGAGATTAAATTTTACCATAATACTCCAACAGAACTAAATCTATATCCGTGCAACTGTTGTTACTGCTTCCTAGATTGGAATGTCCACTATCAAAAGAAAACATCGTAATTTACACTTTAGAGGAAGGGGTGTCAGAATGCCAGATGTGGATTCCAGAGGAGTTTCTCTCTGGAGGTGGACCTGTCAGACTAAAAGAGATGTAAACACATTTCAGGGATATCTAACCCTGATTTACAATCAAAAAGGCACTTAATTATCACACACGATCCACTTTAGGTGTAGGGTGTCGTTCTGATCTGTGGAGAAGTCAGTGTTCTGTTAAAGAGGATAAAGCAAATTGACACCTAGAGATCCCATCTGAGAATCTGAAAAGAACCAGGCTCTCTGTGCAGGAGACTGTCGGCGCCACAGTCTCACCTCCCCTCCTGGGTCAAAAAGGTCAAAGGAAAAGAGGAGGCCTTGAAAACTCTCCTGGTGGAACATAATCAAAATAATATGATGATTGTTGAATTAAGAGACGGATAAAGCGTCTTTGTAGAGGAAGACGAGGACAAGGTCCTACATGAACCAGAGAAGCAGCTCTGGTTACAGGGTTCCCGCTCTTTTTAAGAAATCATTGTATTTTAATATCATCACTTCATAAACAGCTGTGATATAATTCAGGTCCAATTCAATTCAATTTTATTTGTATAGCGCCAATTCATAACAGAAGTTATCTCAGGACACTTTTCAAATAGAGCAGGTCTAGACCGAACTCTTTATAACATTAATTACTGAGACCCAACAGTACCACCATGAGCAAGACCTTGGAGACAAGGGCAAGGAAAAACTGCCTGTTAAAAGACAGAAACCTAGGACAGATCCTCCGGCTCTAGGTGGGTGGTCGTCTGTCTCAACCAGTTGGGGTGAGAGAGAGAGAGAGAGAGAGAGAGAGAGAGAGAGAGAGGGGGAGAGAGAGAGAGAGAAAGAAGAGAGACAGACAGGTGCACAGCAACAACAGTATTAGCAATGGCAATCTAGCAGGACCATGGCAGGAGGCTCCACCAGGATTGATAAGAACCTGCGAGACGAGAAAGCACAAGAACTCCGGGGAAGAAGTGAAGTTAGTAACATGCATTAATGGAACATGAATGAGTGCAGAAAGAGAGAGGAAGAGAGGAGCTCAGTGCACCATGGAAAATCTCCCGATAGTCTAGGCCTATAGCAGCATAACTAAGGGATGGTTCAGGACTCACCTGATCCAGCCCTAACTATAAGCTTTATCAAAGAGGAATGTCTTAAGCCTACTCTTGAATGTGGTGAGGGTGTCTGCCTCCAGAACCACAACTGGAAGCTGGTTCCACAGGAGAGGAGCTTGGTAACTGCAGTATTGGGTTTTATTTCTCCTCAGGTAGGAGTTCCACATTGTTCTCATCACAGCTGATTCTCAGCAGCGTTTCTGGTAATTTCACCAGAACTTCTCTACAGTTTTACACAGATTAATGAACTTTTATTATCTTATTGAGCAACTAGATTCTCAACTACCTTAACGGTTCTAATAAGGTTCTCAACCAACTCTGAACCAGCACTAGAACCAGACCCCAACCAGCACTGGAACTAGACCAGAACCAGAACCAGACCAGAAATAGCTCTAGAACCAGACCAGAACCAACACTAGAACCAGATCAGTACCAGACTAGAAATAGCTCTAGAACCAGACTAGAACCAGTCCAGAACCAGCACTGGAACCAGACCAGAACCAGAAGCAGCACTAGAACCAGACCAGAACCAGACCAGAAAGAGCTCTAGAAACAGACCACAACCAACACTAGAACCAGTCCAGAACCAGCACTGGAACCAGACCAGAACCAGAAGCAGCACTAGAACCAGACCAGAACCAGAAGCAGCACTAGAACCAGACCAGAACCAGACCAGAAAGAGCTCTAGAAACAGACCACAACCAACACTAGAACCAGTCCAGAACCAGCACTGGAACCAGACCAGAACCAGACCAGGAATAACTCTAGAACCAGACCAGAACCAACACTAGAACCAGCACTAGAACCAGTCCAGAGCCAGCACCAGCACTGGGTTCTTGTTGGTGGAAAGAGGGTTTGGCAGGTGTTCATTGATTAGGCTCTCTGTATCGTAAACAGTGTTGGGAAATGTAATCTGATTACAGTTACTAATGACCTGTTAAAGAATGTAGTCAGTAATCAGAATATTAAAGTAACTTGATTACTTTCTGTTACTTTTGCATTACCTAAACACCAAATATGCAAATAAACACAAGAGAAAGGAAATAGCAAGTATTGATCTGAGAGTAATCTAAGATAGTGTAAGATAAGATATTCCTTTATTTGAACCACAATGGGGAAATTCCAATGTTACAGCAGCAAAGTGGAGAAAGAGAGAAAACAGTATAAACAGTAAGAGTAGAAAATAATAAATAATAAATAAAAACACTGTACAAGAGGAAAACAGTAAGAATCCACAAACAACAGATAACACAAATATTAGCAGCAGCAGTTGCACAGAACAATGATTTATCATCGATGGATTTACAAAGTAAAACTGTAATCTGATTACATCTCTCTCCAATGGAGCTTTTGGTAGATAGACAGATACTTTAAAGGAGATTAATCTGTGAATGTTGTTAACTTGTTAATAATTACATTAGATTATGTAAATACAGAATATATAAAGTACCTCTAACTGTTCCTGAAGTACTCGAGTAAATGTACTCGCTGCCTGTCAGTACAGACTCCGGGCAGCAGTGGGCCGCGCAGACGGAAGCAGGAAGTTAAAACCGGTAATAACTCCGTAGAAGAAGAAGTAAAGATGGCGACCGCCGCGGTGAGGACGATCGGCTCCAGTTTGAGTAAAAACCTCCGAGAGCTCCGCGTCCACCTCTGCCAGACCTCCGCGGCCAGCGGGGGGGCCAGGTGAGCTCCGGGCCGGCCTCATGGGGCGGGAACAGCCGCTGGTTGTTTCACCCGCTGCCTGTTAGCTTAGCATCAGCTCAGAGGATGACCTGAACACTGCTAACGGCTAACGGCTAACAGCTAACAGCTAATGGCTAATGGCTAATGGCTAATGGCTAATGGCTAACAGCTAATGGCTAATGGCTAATGGCTAACAGCTAACGGGTGATGGCTAACGGCTAACGGCTAACAGCTAACGGCTAACAGCTAACGGCTAACAGCTAACGGCTAACAGCTAACGGCTAATGGCTAACAGCTAACGGCTAATGGCTAACAGCTAACGGCAGAATGACCTGAGAGCAGCTAGCAGTTAGCATTAAAGTGTAAACACAAGTGCAGATTGATTTCATTATTGATTATTTATTGATTATTTATTGATTATTTACTGTTTATTTATTGATTTCATTATTGATTATTTACTGTATGTATTCACTGTTCCAGATTCACTTTAGTTATTAGGATTAATTATAATTTATTGTTCATTATTTATTGTTTATTATTATTATTTGTTGATATTATTTATTATTATTATTTATTCATATTATTTATTGTTTAATATTTATTATTATTTATTGATATTATTTATTATTTATTATTATTATTTATTGATATTATTTATTATTTATTATTATTATTTATTTATATTTTTTTATTTATTATTTTTTTATATTATTTTTTTTTTATTATTATTATTTTTTTATTTTTTTTATTTATTATTATTATTTATTGATATTATTTATTATTTATTATTAATATTTATTTATATTGTTTATTATTTATTATTATTTATTGATATTATTTATTGTTTATTATTTATTATTATTTTGAGATACTGAATCATCTGTTTGCTCACACTGGAGAAAATGTGCTCCCATAGAATGAATCAATAATCAATAACAATAATAATAAATGAAGTACAAACATGGTTGCAGATCAATGATCAATAAACTACATTATAGATTATTGATTTACAGAATATCAATCAGATTCACTAAACTCACTTCTACCTGTCTGTCTCTCTGTCTACCTGTCTCTGTCTCTCTGTCTGTCTCTCTGCCTACCTGTCTCTGTCTCTACCTGTCTGTCTCTACCTGTCTGTCTCTACCTGTCTGTCTCTCTGTCTACCTGTCTCTGTCTCTCTGTCTGTTCTCTGCCTACCTGTCTCTGTCTCTACCTGTCTGTCTCTACCTGTCTGTCTCTCTGTCTACCTGTCTGTCTCTCTGTCTACCTGTCTCTGTCTCTACCTGTCTGTCTCTCTGTCTGTCTCTCTGTCTACCTGTCTCTGTCTCTACCTGTCTGTCTCTCTGTCTGTCTCTCTGTCTACCTGTCTCTGTCTCTACCTGTCTGTCTCTACCTGTCTGTCTCTCTGTCTACCTGTCTGTCTCTCTGTCTACCTGTCTCTGTCTCTACCTGTCTGTCTCTCTGTCTGTCTCTCTGTCTGTCTCTCTGTCTACCTGTCTCTGTCTCTCTGTCTCTACCTGTCTGTCTCTCTGTCTGTCTCTCTGTCTACCTGTCTCTGTCTCTACCTGTCTGTCTCTCTGTCTGTCTCTCTACCTGTCTGTGTGCAGAGACTTTGTGGAGCAGCACTATGTGAGTCTGAAGAAATCCAACCCAGACTTCCCGATCCTGATCAGAGAATGTTCTGGAGTTCAGGCCCGAGTGTGGGCCAGATACGGTGAGTCTGCTCCACACTGATCACTGTATTGATCACTGTATCGATCACTGTATTGATCACTGTATTAATCACTGTATTGATCACTGTATTGATCACTGTATTAATCACTGTATTGATCACTGTATCGATCACTGTATTGATCACTGTATTAATCATATTATCACTGTATTGATCACTGTATTAATCACTGTATTGATCACTGTATTGATCACTGTATTGATCACTGTATTAATCACTGTATTGATCACTGTATTGATAAAGTGATCAACCTTTCTCTGATCAGAACTGTGAACAGCAGTTTATCATTCTGCTGAACAAATTACACCTATAATAAATATCATTATTAATAACTGTTAATGTGTATTTATACCAGTGTAAACAACAACAACAACAATAATAATGTTTGTGTTCAGGTTTCGGTAAAGAGAAGAGCGTCTCTGTGGACAACATGTCAGCTGATCAGGTGGCCAAAGCTCTGGAGACCCTGGTTCAGTCCAAACCTTAACCCCCCCCGCTGAAGTGGTTCAGTCCGGATTCAGTGTGTAAATGTGTTTATGAATATATAATAAAGGTTATTACTGTCACTGTGGGTTTGTTGGGATTTAAGGAGGTTTAACTAATAAATCCACCTTAAACAGATTCACCAGCATCAGGAGGTTTTTAAATGTTAAACTGTTAACAACGATTAATAACTGACACACAGGAAGTGATTATACATCTGTTTTAATGTCTCATTGTTTGTTCTCTGCTTCCTGTTTATTATTAACTATTAGAACTGTTAATTAATGAGCGCCCCACACACACACACACACACACGGACCCTGCAGCAGGAACACCAGCTGGTCCTGGAGAACCTTCAACAGTGACTCTGCTGACCTGCAGGGGGCAGCACAGACGCCCCCCCCCCACATTAATATCACACACACACACTGAACACTGCATTTACGTATATTTACTATCATTTATAACATTTTACACAAATGTTAGAACTTGTTATAGGATGAAACAAACATGATGCAGTAAAAAGTTTAAAGGTTTATTAGCTTAATAATAATAATAATAATAAATATAATAATAAATATAATAATGATAATAATAATAATAATAATAAATATTATAATAATAAATATAATAATGATAATAATGATAATAATAAATATAATAATAAATATAATAATAATAATTATAATGATAAATATAATAATGATAATAATGATAATAAATATAATAATAATAAATATAATAATGATAATAATAATAATAATAAATATTATAATAATAATAATAAATATAATAAATATAATAATGATAATAAATTAATAATAATAAATATAATAATAATAAATATAATAATAAATATAATAATAATAAATATAATAATAATAAATACAATAATAAATATAATAATAAATATAATAATAATAAATATAATAATTGTTTCCTAACGTCAGATTTTAGCATCCAGACAGATTATTAAATAAACCGACAGACAGGAGGAAGAATTTAATATGAATTATTATTCAAACTTTAATTTTACGTTAAAAACGTAACGTCGGGGAACAGGAAGTGACGTACCATCACAACAGAGTGGAGTTCCGGTGTAGAAGCTAACCGAGCTAACAAAGCTAACGCAGCAGCAGCAGCAGATTAAAGGTTCAGTTTTGTTTCCTGACGGTAAACTAACGGCTGTCCAGGCCGAAGGAGAGCACCGACATCCCGCAGAGACCGCAGAGTCCCGCAGAGTCCCGCAGAGACCCGCAGAGTCCCGCAGAGACCCGCAGAGTCCCGCAGAGACCCGCAGAGATGCCTGAAAGTAAGTGTGTAGCTCCGGAAGTCTGTTAGCTAGAGGTTTGTTAGCACACTGTTAGCCTGCGTTAGCCCCGTGTTCACTTTTTATTGATTTTAAATCTGCAGCTCAACAGATAATAACTGAAGCTCCACTGCTGATCCCCTATAACAAACTATTAATAAAGCTCCAATCAGTGTATCGATCACCGTGTGACCAAAGCTGAGAAAGGATCGATACATAATCAATAAAAGGTTCTTCCTGTTAGCCTGTTAGCTGAGTGTTAGCAGCAGTTCCTGATGTTAAACATTAAATTATATTTATCTCCTGCAGCATTAGAGAGTGGACCAGAGGAAACCTCGACCTTCTATTATTATTATTATTATTATTATTATTATAATTATTATTATTATTATTATAAAGATATAAACTCTTTTATCAGCTGGCTCCAGAAATCTTTCTCTAATAAAGTCTTTTATTTTGGTTTTTGTCCTCGTTGTTGTTCTGGTTGTAAAGATATTTGTGTTTTTATATTATATATAATCTTTTATTTTATATTGTATAATCTTTATATTGTGTATATAAACTTCCCTCTCTCCCTCTCGGGGTGGTATCTGTGTCATCCTCGAGCCCGGGTCCTCTACCAGAGGTCTGGGAGTTTGAGGGTTCTGATGTTGTTCCTGGGATCTGTTGGAGCCACTCCCCCAGTTTGGGGGTCACTGCCCCGAGTGCTCCTACTGCCACGGGGACCACGCTCGCCTTGATCTTCCACATCTGCTCCAGCTGTTCTTTCAACCCTTGGTACTTTTCAACCTTTTCGTGTTCCTTCTTTCTGATGTTGGCGTCTGCTGGTATGGCCACATCTATCACCACCGCCTTCTTCTGCTCCTTGTCTACCACCACTATGTCTGGTTGGTTGGCCAGGACCTGTTTGTCAGTCTGGAAGCTGAAGTCCCACAGCACCTTGGCCCTGTTGTTCTCAGCCACCTTCTGTGGTGCGGCCCATTGGGATTTGGGTTCTTCTATTCCATACTGGGTACAGATGTTCCTGTACACTATTCCAGCCACTTGGTTGTGTCTCTCCATGTACGCTGACCCGGCTAGCATCTTACACCCTGCTACGATGTGCTGGACTGTCTCAGAGGCATCTTTTCATAGTCTGCACCTTGGGTCAGATCTACTCTTGTAGATCTTGGCCTCTATGGCTCTTGTACCTAGGGCCTGTTCTTGTGCTGCCATGATCAGTGCCTCTGTGCTGTCTCTGAGTCCAGCCTTTTCCAGCCATTGGTAGGTCTTCTTGATATCAGCCACTTCTTTAATTTGGCGGTGGTACGTGCCATGTAGGGGCTTCTCCCTCCAGGTTGTCTGCTCCTCTTCCTCTGCACTCTTATCGGGTTTCTGTTGCCTGAGACATTCACTTAGCAGTTCATCCTTTGTGGCCATTTTTTGATGTACTCTTGGATTTTTGATGTTTCATCCTGGATAGTGGCCTTGATGCTCAGTAGTCCTCGGCCTCCCTCTTTCCGCTTAGGATACAGTCTCAGGGTGCTGGATTTGGGGTGAAACCCTCCATGCATGGTGAGGAGCTTTCTTGTCTTGATATCTGTGGATTCTATCTCCTCCTTTGGCCAGCTTATGATCCCAGCAGGGTTTCTGATGACTGGTAGTGTGTACATGTTGATGGCTTGGATCTTGTTCCTGCCATTCAGCTGACCTTTCAGGACCTGCCTTACTCTCTGGAGGTATTTGGTTGTGGTTGACTTCCTTGTGGCTTCCTCATGGTTTCCATTAGCCTGTGGGATACCAAGGTACTTGTAGCTGTCTTGGATATCACCTATGTTGCCCTTTGGTAGGTCAACCCCTTCAGTTCTGATCATCTTGCCTCTCTTTGAGACCATCCAGCCGCACTTGTCCAATCCGAATGACATCCCTATGTCGTTGCTGTAGATCCTGGTGGTGTGGATCAGTGAGTCCATTTCTAATGGCTAATTGTTGCTCCACTTCGGAATTGGTACCCGTAACCACTCTTTGTGATGATCTGACTGAGGGAGTTCAGGCCTATGCAGAACAGCAGTGGTGATAGCCCATCTCCTTGGTATATGCCGCATTTGATGTTGACTTCTAGTCTGTCTTCCACATTCCCATCGAGTTCTGGATGAAGGCCCTTAGGTTCCTGTTGATCTTATACAGTTCCAGACATTCCAGTATCCATGTGTGGGGCATTGAGTCGTAAGCTTTCTTGTAGTCGATCCAGGCGGTGCACAGGTTGGTCTTCCTGTTCTATCGACCAGTAGCTGGTGCTTGGCTCCTCTGGTGTTGCTACCAATTCCTTTCTGAGCCCCGCTCATGTATTGAGCTACGTGCTTACTCATCTTAGCCGTGATGATGCCTGACAGGGCCTTCCATGTTGTGGAGAGACAGGTTATTGGCCGGTAGTTGGATGGTATATAATATTGATCGGTGTACTGTATTGATCGGTGTACTGTATTGATCCGGTGTACTGTATTGATCCGGTGTACTGTATTGATCCGGTGTACTGTATTGATCCGGTGTAGCGCCCCCTGCTGTCAGTAATGTGTGTTTCCTGTGCAGCTGAGAGTTACTCCAACCCTCTGGCTCCTGAAGGCCACGAGCTGGACGACCACAGAGCGGCTGCTCAGTGAGTATCAATCAATCAATCAATCAATCAATCAATCAATCAATCAATCAGTGTTACTGTGTGTGTGTGTTAACCCTGTGTGTGTGTGTGTGTGTGTGTGTGTGTCTCTCTTCAGGTCCAAACTGACCAATGATGACTTCAGGAAGTTGCTGATGACGCCGCGGGCGACGCCGTCCTCGGCCCCGCCCTCCAAATCCAGACACCATGAGTGAGTTGTTGTTGAGGAGGAGGAGGAGGAGGAGGAGGAGGAGGAGGAGGAGGAGGAGGAGGAGGAGTGACTGTATTCTTTTGTTTTCCCAGAATGCCGAGGGACTACAACGAGGATGAGGATCCTGCGGCGAGGAGGAGGAAGAAGAAGAGGTGAGACTGTTGATTGGATGTAATGTTTGTGATGTCACAGGTTGACACTGCAGGTGGCTTTTACAACATGGTGCTGTTGCCATGCAACCAGCATGCTAACAGCGCCACCTGGAGGCTCCATTCTGCTCTATTGATCGTGTTACTGGTTATTGATCATTGATTGCCTTTGTTGCAGCTACTATGCTAAGCTACGTCAGCAGGAGATGGAGCGCGAGAGAGAGCTGGCGGAGAAATACAGAGACCGAGCGAGAGAGAGACGAGACGGCGTCAACAAAGACTACGAAGAGACGGAGCTGATTAGCACCACCGCTAACTACAGAGCTGTAGGCCCCACGGCTGAGGCGTGAGTAATGCTATGCTAACCGCTAACTACAGAGCTGTAGGCCCCACGGCTGAGGCGTGAGTAATGCTATGCTAACCGCTAACTACAGAGCTGTAGGCCCCACGGCTGAGGCGTGAGTAATGCTATGCTAACCGCTAACTACAGAGCTGTAGGCCCCACGGCTGAGGCGTGAGTAATGCTATGCTAACCGCTAACTACAGAGCTGTAGGCCCCACGGCTGAGGCGTGAGTAATGCTATGCTAACCGCTAACTACAGAGCTGTAGGCCCCACGGCTGAGGCGTGAGTAATGCTATGCTATGCTAATGTATCTGTCGTTTCCAGAGATAAATCAGCAGCAGAGAAACGTCGTCAGCTGATTCAGGAGTCGAAGTTCTTGGGAGGAGATATGGAACACACTCACCTGGTGAAAGGGCTCGACTTCGCTCTGCTGCAGAAGGTGAGACGCTACCGTTAGCTTTAATGCTAACAGAGTGACTGAGGATCATAGACTGGAGTTAGCTTTAATGCTAACAGTGTGACTGAGGATCATAGACTGGAGTTAGCTTTAATGCTAACAGTGACTGAGGATCATAGACTGGAGTTAGCTTTAATGCTAACAGTGACTGAGGATCATAGACTGGAGTTAGCTTTAATGCTAACAGAGTGACTGAGGATCATAGACTGGAGTTAGCTTTAATGCTAACTGTGTGACTGAGGATCATAGTCTGGAGTTAGCTTTAATGCTAACAGTGACTGAGGATCATAGACTGGAGTTAGCTTTAATGCTAACAGAGTGACTGAGGATCATAGACTGGAGTTAGCTTTAATGCTAACAGAGTGACTGAGGATCATAGACTGGAGTTAGCTTTAATGCTAACAGAGACTGAGGATCATAGACTGGAGTTAGCTTTAATGCTAACAGTGACTGAGGATCATAGACTGGAGTTAGCTTTAATGCTAACAGTGACTGAGGATCATAGACTGGAGTTAGCTTTAATGCTAACAGAGTGACTGAGGATCATAGACTGGAGTTAGCTTTAATGCTAACTGTGACTGAGGATCATAGACTGGAGTTAGCTTTAATGCTAACAGTGACTGAGGATCATAGACTGGAGTTAGCTTTAATGCTAACAGAGTGACTGAGGATCATAGACTGGAGTTAGCTTTAATGCTAACAGTGACTGAGGATCATAGTCTGGAGTTAGCTTTAATGCTAACAGTGACTGAGGATCATAGACTGGAGTTAGCTTTAATGCTAACAGAGTGACTGAGGATTAGATCATAGTCTGGAGTTAGCTTTAATGCTAACAGTGACTGGAGTTAGCTTTAATGCTAACAGTGACTGAGGATCATAGACTGGAGTTAGCTTTAATGCTAACACAGTGACTGAGGATCATAGATGGAGTTAGCTTTAATGCTAACTGTGACTGAGGATCATAGACTGGAGTTAGCTTTAATGTAAAGTGACTGGGATTGCTGGGTGCTTTATGCTAACTGTGACTGGATCATAGCTGGAGTTAGCTTTAATGCTAACAGTGACTGAGGATCATAGACTGGAGTTAGCTTTAATGCTAACAGAGTGACTGAGGATCATAGACTGGAGTTAGCTTTAATGAACTGTGACTGAGGATCATAGTTGGAGTTAGCTTTAATGCTAACAGTGACTGAGGATCATAGACTGGAGTTAGCTTTAATGCTAACAGGGATATAGGGTTAGCTTTAATGTAAAGTGACTGAGGATAGACTGGGTTAGCTTTAATGCTAACAGGTGACTGAGGATCATAGACTGGAGTTAGCTTTAATGCTACACAGTGACTGAGGATCATAGACTGGAGTTAGCTTTAATGCTAACGAGTGACTGAGGATCATAGACTGGAGTTAGCTTTAATGCTAACAGTGACTGAGGATCATAGACTGGAGTTAGCTTTAATGCTAACTGTGACTGAGATCATAGTCTGGAGTTAGCTTTAATGCTAAAGTGATTAGACTTTGTTTATGCTAGTGACTGAGATCATATTTAATGTACTGGAGTTAGCTTTAATGCTAACAGAGTGACTGAGGATCATAGACTGGAGTTAGCTTTAATGCTAACAGAGTGACTGAGGATCATAGACTGGAGTTAGCTTTAATGCTAACAGAGTGACTGAGGATCATAGACTGGAGTTAGCTTTAATGCTAACAGAGTGACTGAGGATCATAGACTGGAGTTAGCTTTAATGCTAACAGAGTGACTGAGGATCATAGACTGGAGTTAGCTTTAATGCTAACAGAGTGACTGAGGATCATAGACTGGAGTTAGCTTTAATGCTAACAGAGTGACTGAGGATCATAGACTGGAGTTAGCTTTAATGCTAACAGTGACTGAGGATCATAGACTGGAGTTAGCTTTAATGCTAACAGAGTGACTGAGGATCATAGACTGGAGTTAGCTTTAATGCTAACAGAGTGACTGAGGATCATAGACTGGAGTTAGCTTTAATGCTAACAGTGTGACTGAGGATCATAGACTGGAGTTAGCTTTAATGCTAACAGAGTGACTGAGGATCATAGACTGGAGTTAGCTTTAATGCTAACAGAGTGACTGAGGATCATAGACTGGAGTTAGCTTTAATGCTAACACAGTGACTGAGGATCATAGACTGGAGTTAGCTTTAATGCTAACAGTGACTGAGGATCATAGACTGGAGTTAGCTTTAATGCTAACAGAGTGACTGAGGATCATAGTCTGGAGTTAGCTTTAATGCTAACTGTGACTGAGGATCATAGTCTGGAGTTAGCTTTAATGCTAACAGTGACTGAGGATCATAGACTGGAGTTAGCTTTAATGCTAACTGTGACTGAGGATCATAGTCTGGAGTTAGCTTTAATGCTAACAGTGACTGAGGATCATAGACTGGAGTTAGCTTTAATGCTAACAGAGTGACTGAGGATCATAGACTGGAGTTAGCTTTAATGCTAACTGTGACTGAGGATCATAGTCTGGAGTTAGCTTTAATGCTAACAGTGACTGAGGATCATAGACTGGAGTTAGCTTTAATGCTAACAGAGTGACTGAGGATCATAGATTGTCTGGAGTTAGCTTTAATGCTAACAGTGACTGAGGATCATAGACTGGAGTTAGCTTTAATGCTAACATAGTGACTGAGGATCATAGACTGGAGTTAGCTTTAATGCTAACACAGTGACTGAGGATCATAGACTGGAGTTAGCTTTAATGCTAACTGTGACTGAGGATCATAGACTGGAGTTAGCTTTAATGCTAACAGAGTGACTGAGGATCATAGACTGGAGTTAGCTTTAATGCTAACTGTGACTGAGGATCATAGACTGGAGTTAGCTTTAATGCTAACAGTGACTGAGGATCATAGACTGGAGTTAGCTTTAATGCTAACAGAGTGACTGAGGATCATAGACTGGAGTTAGCTTTAATGCTAACAGAGACTGAGGATCATAGACTGGAGTTAGCTTTAATGCTAACAGAGTGACTGAGGATCATAGACTGGAGTTAGCTTTAATGCTAACAGAGTGACTGAGGATCATAGACTGGAGTTAGCTTTAATGCTAACAGAGTGACTGAGGATCATAGACTGGAGTTAGCTTTAATGCTAACAGAGTGACTGAGGATCATAGACTGGAGTTAGCTTTAATGCTAACAGAGTGACTGAGGATCATAGACTGGAGTTAGCTTTAATGCTAACAGAGTGACTGAGGATCATAGACTGGAGTTAGCTTTAATGCTAACAGTGTGACTGAGGATCATAGACTGGAGTTAGCTTTAATGCTAACAGTGTGACTGAGGATCATAGACTGGAGTTAGCTTTAATGCTAACTGTGTGTGTTCCAGGTGAGAGCTGAGATCACCAGTAAAGAGAAAGAAGAAGAAGACATGATGGAGAAAGTCCAGAAAGAGGCAAAGTATGACCGCAGCAGTTGATATTTATTGATAATTATTGATCATCAATATTAGTGATCAGCTGGTACTGATGGGTTCTGTTCTCTGCGTCTCAGGAAGGACGTGGAGCCGGAGGAGAAGATCGAGTTTAAGACTCGTCTGGGTGAGATTATTCTCCAATGATCAGATTATTGATCACTCTATATCTGTACTGATGAGTTCTCCATGTGCCGGTGTTCTCCCGTTCCTCCTGCTCTCCTGTTCCTCCTCCTGTTCCTCTCCCGTCTTCTCCTCCATGTCTCCTCGCCTGTCTCCTCCTCCCGTCTCCTCCTGCTTCTCCTCCTGTCTCCTCCTCTCTGTTCCTCCTCCTTTCCTCCTCTCCTCCTGTCTCCCTGTCCTCCTCCCGTCTCTCTGCTTCTTCCTGTCTCCTCCTGTCGTCTCCTCCTCCTGTCTCCTCCTGCTTCTCATACTCTCCTCCCGTCTCCTCCTGCTTCTCCTCCTGTCTCCTCCTGCTTCTCATACGTCTCCTCCTACTCTCTCCTCCCGCCTCCTCCCGTCTCCTCCAGGTAGGAACATCTACCGTGTGGTGTTCAGGACCGGTCAGGTGGAGAGGAACGAGCTGTTCCTTCCGGGCAGGATGGCGTACGTTGTGGATCTGGACGATGAGTTCACTGACACCGACATTCCCACAACTCTGATCCGCAGCAAAGCCGACTGTCCCAGCATGGAGGTACTGCACATCTGGATCAATATCACTGATCAATATCACTGATCAATATCACTGCACACATCAGGATCAGTTGGGGACTGACCGTACGCCCTGAAGCTGATGGATTGATTAAGGATTAATGATTATTGATTGTGTGTCTCAGGCTCAGACGACTCTGACCACCAACGACATCGTGATCTCCAAGCTGACTCAGATCCTGTCGTACCTCCGACAGGGAACACGACACAAGAAGGTCAAGAAGAAGGACAAAGGTCAGATTATTGATTATCTATTATCTATAGCTGATCAGACTGATGTCATTGATTGATCAGCTGATTCAGTGTTGAATATGTTGTT